GCTCTGGATCCCTTTCACTCCACTCTCTAGGAAAGAAAGAAAAATGCAGGGTCAGCAACAAGGAACAACCACTGCACACAACCAGTGTGCAGTCTCAGTGAGGAAAATAAAAATAAAACCTGGCCAGCATCCAAAGAACTGCTTAGACTCATGCAAGGAGCCTGCACTTAGCTCCAGGGGGATTTTTGAGTTTCTGCTTCTTTGAGCAGCTGCCCTGCTTTGCTATTTCACTGACTCTCCTTGGTTTTAAAAGCAATTTGCCACGAAGCACTAAAGGTTCTTGTTCGACGACCCATCAAGGCCCTTTGGACTCATAGTTCTTCTGATCCACACCACTTTATGTATAATATATTTTGTTCCAAGTATCAGGGCGAGCGTTGCTGGTTTTTCCCAGTACAGAATCTAGAGCTCTTGATTGTAACTGTGCAAGGAAGGGAGATTTAAAAAATACTATGATTGGAATTCATTCACTGAGGAGGCTTCCATTCATTTAGTCAATACTGTTAGGAGTCTGGAGCTCACACTAGCTATAAGCAGAGGCAGAAATACATGTTGCCCCAGTTCTCCTTCTTTTTGCTTTGAATGTGCTGCCCAGATACACCTTAAAAGAGCCACTAATTGTCGATCAGTCTATGAATATAGGCTTTGCAGTGACGGTTGTTGCCCTGCAATTTACTTTTTCACTCATATAGTTAACTAATCAGACCAGCTGAAGCAGCTTACATTTTAAAAAATCAATATGATAAAAATTCAAAATACAAAATTAACACGTAAAAGATCAAGAGTAAACAGTACGCTAAAGCCATCAATGGGAACAGCCAGTGTTCTACAGTGGAGCTCAAAATGCCAGAATAAGACTGAGAAGATGTTGGTTTATATCTTCCATGAAGCTCTCTGGCCAACCTTGGCCAGTCTCCCTTTCTTTAGTGTAACCAACCTCACAGGATTGTTGTGAGGATAAAATGGAAGGGCGAAATCCTTGCATTGAGCCCCTGGGCTCCTCAAAGTTAGGATGGCTTAAAAAAAAAAATGAAAACAGATACTTGGGGGAAATGCAGCATGCCACATACTTACCGGAACGTCAACGTCTGACCACAATAGTAGGTTGGAGCCTTGGAGTACAGCACCCCACCAGGCTGTGAATCATTTCGGAGGGCTATGTTTCTTCGGCTACTCAGGCTATATCCGTCAAAGCCAGGTGCCCATTCTGAAAAGGCAAGAGCAAACAGTAACCAAAACACAGGTGCCTGTTAACCAGACATGAGGTATATGATGCAGTGGTCACATGCTGTTAGTACTACTCCCAATGATCAGGCCTGGCACAGCTGTGTGCCAGTGCTCAAGACAAGAAAACTCTGACATGCCTATTTCTGAAAGTCTGAGCTACCAGCTCTTCCTGCAGTCACTTTGGACTTTTCCCTTCCCCAGCTTAAGAATGGAACTGGTAATGATGTTTAAAAAACAAAGTATTCTATCAAACTTTGTGTAAGTTTGCAGAGCCAGTACAGCACAGCGCTGTGAACATACAAGAAACATGTAGGTAGGATTGGGGAAAACTCAGTTTAATCCCCACTTAGCCATGGAGTTCACTGGGTGGCCTTGGGTCATCTAAGCGTAATCTCTCACAGGGTTATTATAAGAATGGCATGAAGGAGACAACAGTATATACTACCCTGTGTTCTTTGGAAGAAAGATGAGGTATGAATCAGATAGATGCTACTGATAATAACGCTATCTAATAACTACTACATGAAGTAGCTTTTCTATTAATTTACTGCTGGAACGTTCCAGAACCAAGAACTTTTAAGTATGGATATATTGCATTTAATGTTGATGCTTAATACTTTACTTAATGCTGTACTTCCAACAGCCCAACCCTAATACGTTTACTGCAAAAATCAGTCCTACTGATTCCAGTGGGACTTACATTCAAGTAAGCAGGCATAGGTTCCTATGAATGAACAACATTTAGAAAACGAAAATAAGTGAGACCTTCAATCAATGTGAAGATGCTTCTTAGATTGCTATGGTAGATTTTGTGTGTGCTACAGTATTAAATGGGGGCATGGGGGGGCAGCAGGGACATGATTCTTCTGTACGATGTCATGTTCCAGTGCCTATGAACTTTTGTTACTGAATACAGTATAAACTAATATACATACCATGAGGCACTAATGTTGTATGACCAATTTGAGAAACGCTCCATGGACTCCATTCCTGCCGACCATCTCCTCTAGCACAAACCCTGAACTGATAGTCGACATTGGGGTCGATGTGCAATACTATGAATTCTGTCTCTGAGCCGACATACACATCTTCAAAGTGGGTGGCATTACTTTTGCAATACTGAAGCCTGTAGTCTTGTGGTATGAAGTCATCATCAACCTGAATAGATTAATTTATTGGATTAACATACTACCTTAAATCTTCCTTCAACAGATCATCTGTTTAGCTATCTGAAATCAAGGCAAAACGGTAGTATATTTGGTTTGTGCCAAATATGTGTTGGTTTGTGCCAAGAATGGGTTGGATCCAATGATCCATCAGCAAAACATGCTGATTGTCACAATCTTTCCAGTTTTTCCTTCCCTCAGCAGTTCTGTCCAACCCCGGAAGGGTTTGGGGTTGACTTTCAGGACAATCCAATGTAAAGTACTTTGTCGTAATCGAGCAATGAGGTTATGGTACCATGAATGAGCACGGCCAAATCAACTTAGCCTTAAGAAGGGAACCAGTTGATTTGCTAGCTGTAACAGCACTGATCTGCCTCTCCATCAGTACAGCCAAATCCAAACGTGCACCCCCAAGCTCTTCACATATTCTGCCAGTGACAGCACTATCCATCTAGAACCAGCAGTATGATTTGTTCCAGACCTTCAGGCTTTTCAACCAGTATCGCTTCAATCTTGTCTTCAATCTTGTCTGCATGCAGCTTCAGTTTGTTCCCCCTTAGCCATCTGCTCATAACATCCAGACAATGGCCCAGGGCAGAAATGGCTGCTTACAGAGGCTTAGTTAATGAAATACAGAGCTGGGTATCATGCATTGAAAACAATCTAATTCAAAGGCTGGATATTCACATTAATCAACACAGGCAACAGGACCACACCTTGGGACAGACAGCAGATCCCAGGAGGCTGATTCAGCATACATAATGATACCTCTTTGGGACAGAAATGACCAACACTATTAAAGCATCACTTTTTAAATCCCATTTTAATCCCATTTCTCCAGACAATGTAACAGAACAACATGGTCCACTGTATCAAGCAGTAATGAAATCTAACAAATGCAGCAGAGCAACATTGCCTCTATCTATCTGCACTCTTGTATTTGATCCACTGGATTATACCTACTTCTCTGGAGATACCAGAGTTTGCTATGGAATCAGAGAACAAGCAAACTTTTTTCCTTTTTTTAAAAAATAGTAAGGAATATGGTTGTAGTGTCTGAAATTAACTGGTTTAAGATTTTGGCATTCTCAACCACCATGATTTATTTGAAAAAAACAAGATTAAGGGCATAGATGCTTAGACATAGGGATTGTCTCATGGGATCTGTGTCACAGGGTATCAGATGTTAGATACAGCAGTGGTTTAATGACACTTTGATGTCAGAGCCATCTTAGAGTATGTAGGTCACATGATCACAAAATCAATTTTTATACAATTAAGAAAGATCTTTAAATTTGGGAGATTCCCGGCTCTCTATTTCTAACCATTCTGTATTTTTAACGGCAGAGTGATTCCGTCCAAGGAAACAGAAATGTAGCCTGCATTCCCTTTCTTAGCTTTTGGATGCAACATATTTTTTTGTATTGGTGAGCAGCTGACAGAAGCCAGTGGAAACTGATCCAAATAGCACCTTTTTGTAATCCAAGTGAAAGCAGATAAGCAGCAGATTGCTTTAGAAAACATGGAACATAACTTGCACATAGACATGATAACCAAGGCATTCAATTAAGTCCTATTAGGTGAAAGTAATCGTCTGTCATCATAACCCTGAGCAATTCCAAAAGGTTATGTAAGCACAAATTCAAGGAAGAAAGAACACACACAGTGTCTGATCTTGAAAGCATTCTTTTGCCCACCTTACACCATCGCACTAGGATACCTCCCGGCTTCTCAATAAGCTCTTCTATCTGAATTGGCGGTCGAGATGCTATTGTCCCGTGTTTGAAGATCTCACTTTTCACTATTGTAAGAAGAGAGTCATCCAGTTGGGCAGATAAACAAGGCACGTCTACCAGTGCGGGCACTTCTGGCAAACTAAAATAAAGAAAATACTACTTAGTGCTGTTACTGTCCAATAAGCAGCTCTTTTCATCCATAAAATTAGAAAACGGTTTGGAGATAAGAGCTACAAATCATAGAGGGGTAGCCCAGCTATTCTGTTGCAGCCAAAATAAACTGGAGCCATGTGTTACCTTAAATGCTAACAAGATTTTATTCCAGCATATGCTTTTGTGAATTAAAGCACCCTTTGTCAGATACAAGATGTACAATCTTAGTCAGATTTAGATAGAACAATGTGTGTACTACATTATTTTTCCGGCCTCAACTCTTTTTATTTTACTGAAAGATTCTTGTAAACACAAGATATAAAACTCCAAACATCTAAAAAAAACATTTGCAATTTATGCAACCATGAAAAACAGTGCAACAATAATAATTACCTGTCACTAGGGACGCCAGCTCTGGGTTGGGAAATACCTGGAGATTTGGGGAGGGGGAGCCTGGGGAGGGACCTCAGCAGGGTATAATTCTGTTGAGTCCATTCTCCAAAGCAGCCATTTTCTCCAGGAGAACTGATCTTGGTTGTCTGGAGATCAATTGTAATAGTGGGAGATTTCCAGGTGCTACCTGGAGGCTGGCAACCCTACCAGTCACAACAAACTCATTGTACCGAAACCAAGGTACCAGTCCAAAAGGAAGACATACTGTAACTCCACAACTTCCATCCTTTGAAGAATTGGATACTACAAAGCACCCATTTTTTTAAACATCTCCCTTATAAATAAAACCCAAATGGTGGTGGCCCTTCTCTAGAACTTTCCACACGCTCCAAAATCAGTTCACTCTCTGAATATTATTTCATTCAGAGGGTCTCCCTATCCACTGGCTGCTTTGCCTGAGTCCTGCCTCCAACATTCTAAACATTTTGCTTTTCCTCTCCCCCCCCCCCATAGCCAGTCAGAACACTGAGGTTATTTGCATATGCAGCCTCATTGTCCTTTGCCTCGGAACACAGAGGTCGTTTGCATATGCAACTTGATTGGCTTTTGCCTCTAACATTCTAAACAGTTTGCTATTCTGAGGTAAAATGTGTCTGATCTCCAGGTGAGGGCTGGAGATCACTTAGAATTACAACTGCTTTCCAGATGGCAGAAATCAGTTCCCCTGGAGAAAATGGTGGGCTCTGTATCCTTATATGCTGCTGAGGTGGCCCCTGTATGACAGCCAATGTGACGTAGCAGTCAGGGCTTCAGAGCATGGGAGAGGCTGCAGGTGTGTGGGGGGGGGAAAGCTGAACAGTGAGGGGGAAATAAAGGTAGGTTGATGATTGGCTGGGAAGGAGACAGGGTTGCCAACTCCAGGGGGAAAATTCCTGGAGTTGTGAGGGATGGAGCCTGGAGAGGGTGAGGTTTCAGGAGGCGTGAGACCTCGGACAGGTACAAAGCCATAGACTCCACCCTCCAAACCAACTATTCCCTTCTGGGAAACCATCGTTGCCAATCTCCAGGTAAGGACTGGAGTTCACTCAAAATCACAGCTGTTCTTTAGGTAGCAGAGATCAGTTCCTCTGGAGAAAATGATGGACTCAGTGTCATTATACCCTGCTAAGGTCGCCACAGCAAATTGACACTGAGTGTCCAAGACTGGGACACCCACCCAGAGCCTCTTTCTAGAGGCCACTGTATTTATTTCCACAACGGGCCTTTTTTCCTAGTCTGGATATATTTCTGTAAGGCAGTAAGACTAATTAAGATGAACACCTCCTTTGTTAGATCGAACCAGTGCTGTACCTCGGGTAAACTGTCCAGCTTCCAGAGTCTAGCACAAATCTGTCTAGTCCCTCAGTATCTTTTAGGGATCACTGGGACATAACTGAGCTACAGAGGTCTTTGGCCTAAAGGGAACATCACTGCCTATTTCCTGATTTAACAGTTTTACTATGTCTTTCTAGTACTTGCGGCCTTACTGGCGTGCCCACGACACTTGTAAAAAAATCTGCTCCTGAAGATTTACACATGCCAGCAGAAATATTACATATCTTAGCCAACTTCCATGGTGTTAAGATGCCACAGATAAACCATCTTCATGATGCTTTTGTTGAAAAAAGGGGAACCATACACACACACACACATTTCTATACTGAATCTTCAGCCTCATAACCAAGATCCTTTATTCGTTTAATATGAAAAGCTTTCCTTGCTTCACACTCTGCATGCTTGTTCTCATCAATCATTATTTTTTCAAACCTTGTGAGTTGTCCCCTCAGAGGCATCCTATTACAAATTACAGAGGGACACATAACTCTTCATCTGCAGGTACTCATAAACTGAAATATAGAAACTACTAGCCAACAAGACATATTTAAATGATATTACCCCATTACTGAATATTAAAGCCTTTAAAATATCAAGGATGTATCTGTTGGGAGAGAGCAACTCAGTATGCCTGGACACTGGGGGTCCCTACATCGCTCTAAGGGTGTACAGGTGTTATCTCCTTGAATGGGATGCCTCGCTTTGTCTTAACCTGGGAGCTGCTCTCTGGTCCCTCCTCTCTCTGTCCTCTCTCTCCCATGGCCAGGGCCGGATTTAGACTTGCTGAGGCCTTAAGCTATACAAAACCCAGAGGCCCCCTACTGTTTCAAATTACATCAGCTGGTCTCAAAATTTTTTAAAATATATACGCCTTTTTAATATCTGAAATAATTTTTTATATTGTGTTTTTATTTGAGGCCCCAGCAGATTGCGAGGCCCTAAACTGTAGCTTATTTAGCTTATGCGTAAATCCGGCACTGCCCATGGCCTTCCATGGAAACACATGTCTCTGCAGGTCTCTCCTATAGATACAATGCCCTCATATTCGCATACATGTGATGCTGGATTAGCTGGCCATTTGTGATCAGGAAAGTACTCTTTAGGCTTCCCTCTCTTCTTTTGACTGCAACCTGAATGTGACCTGGATCTACTTGAATAAATTTAAGTTTACCTTTTTTGCAATATACTTCTTGGGAGATTTATTTACTGCACTAAGTACCACGCTTCTATGACTGGGCAAACTCTGCTATATTAACCAAATACCCCAATAGTATCCTTCCCATTTCACCAAGAACCTTAATTGAAACCCTTGAATTTTAATAAGTTCTCTAGCAGTTGAAGGGGGGGGGGGGATGTGCAAGGCCTCCTCACCCCTTAATGCTTCAAGAGCCTGGTAATGATGTCAAAAGAACTTCAAGCTTCAGATATCAAAAATGTTTTGAGATAGCACTTTAGCCTAATTAGGTTTTCTATTTCTCAGTAATCTCTTCTGAAATCCAGGCTTTTCAATTGGTCTCAAATGACAAACCGGCTTCACATTAAGAGGGAGCATCTGAAGGTTGAACAGCACTCTAAAGACTGGCGCTGTCAGTTTACATATGAGCAGGCAGAGAAAGTCCGGACTGTGATTTTGAACCCCCCCCCCCAAAAAAAGCTCTTATTAATTCAGCTCTATTGTCCTGAACATCTGTCCCACTTATCTCAGCCCTATTCTCTCCAAGTGCCCAGGAAGATCTGAAAAGCTCTATACATAGCTCCTCCTTGCACACCACTCTAAAGATACCACCTCAAAAGTGGCCAAATTCTATGCTGAGACTCTGTCCATAAGAAAGTAGATGTTCCAAACCTTTAACAGCTTTTAAGTATAATTAATTAAAGCACAATAAGGTTACAAATTTTAATCTCTGTATATTAAGTTTAGGGGCTGCGGTGGCTCAGAGGTTAAGACACTGAACTGCAGAGTGGAAGGTCGGTAGTTCAGCAGTTCGAGACCCGAGTGCCACATGACGGAGTGAGCTCCTGTCTCTGGTCCCAGCTCCTGCCAACCTAGCAGTTCAAAAGCAAGAAATTTCAAGTAGATAAATAGGTACTGGTTTGGTGGGAAGGTAACAGCATTCTGTGTGCCTCGGCGTCTAGTCATGCCGACCACATGACCACGGAAACATCTTCAGACAGCACTGGCTCTTTGGCTTGGAAACAGAGTCGGATTCGACTGGCTTTCGAGCAAGGGAAACCTTTACCTTTTATTAAGTTTAAATTTATATGTAAACTGTGTTCTGTTGTTGACTGATCTCTTGATCAAAATAATGTTGATTGATACTGTTCTCAATGGAAAGGGGTGTGTGTTTCTATAGCCCCATCTCCCCACTTGCTGCAGTATTTACCCTCCCACACCAATCAATAGTTCTTACCTATCCAGCTGAATATGCAAAGCCTTTTTGGTAAAGCTGCAGAGTTTGTCTCTGTCCTCCCCTATAGTTCCATGGATGGCATTCTCACCTAAAATGAAAACAGTGTAAAGGCTTCTGTTGAAAAGGACTCCAGAGGGGGTAGCCATCTTAGCCTTTTGCAGTAAAACAAACAAGAGTCTATTGGGGCCTTTGAGAAGGACCTTTGAACGCTGCGAAGAAATAACCCTCCTTTACACCACTGAAAGAGAAATATGACCTGGTGGCCACAATTAAAACTTGCAGTGTTTGCAGCTGTTTTTTTTGGAAGTGCTTATACGAAAAGTGTTTTCCAGCATGTTGTTAGGAAGACACAATGTGTCAGTGGCTTGTAATGTGAAACTGTGATGCTCAAATGCAACAGATATAAATCTTGACCATGAAAAATATGACGGTCTTGTTGCCTTCGACAAGTCATTCTTGAGAACTTTACTGCAAGGTTTTCGTACTTCTGCCCATGCCATCCCAAGATGTCTTTTGCCAGTAAGGCTGCCAAAGGATCAAAACAGGAAACTTCAATCTGACCTGCTCTTGTGCATTCAACAGAAACTTCACCTACAGAAATCAACAAGTCAAACGTTCCAAAGCTGAGAGGTAAGTGGTTATCATCTGCTAACACTGGCAGAAAAAGCTTCTGATAAAAGCACAGGAGCAGGGCCCAGTTGGCAGCTCTACTAAGCAAGGGAAGGCGTTACGTAGCACCAATCCCTTCTCTCCCTAGCTGGCAAAGCCACAAAACACTGGCCCTTTCTAAGCTGCTGGAAATTGCAAGTGAAAGAAGAGAACACATCAGATAGCTAGCAAGCCCTCCGCCAGCCCTTCTGAGGCTGTCAGCGCCTATCTCATCTGTATGTACGCTGCTCTGCCCAAGCTAGCCTAATCTCATCAGATTTCAGAAGCTAAGCAGGGTCAGCCTTGGCTAGTATGAGGAAGGGTGACCTCCAGGGAATACCATGGTTGTGATGCAGAGGCAGGAAATGGTAAACCACCTCTGAAATGTCTCTTGCCTTAAAAACAAGTCTAGCTTGCCACCTTGTTGTTGTTCAGTCGCACAGTCGAGTCCGACTCTTCGCGACCCCATGGACCAGCTCCCGCCAGGCCCTCCTGTCTTCCGCCGTTCTCTGAAGTTGGCTCAATTTCATGTTCGTTGCATCTATGACACTGTCTAACCATCTCATCCTTTGCCGTCCCCGTCTTCTTTGACCTTCAATCTTCCCCAGCATCAGGGTCTTCTCCAGTGAGTGCTCCCTTCTCATTTGGTGGCCAAAGAATTTGAGCTTCAGTTTCATTATCTGGCTTTCCAGGGAACAGTCAGGGTTGATTTCTTTTAGGATTGACTGATTTGATCTTCTTGCAGTCCAAGGGACTCTCAAGAGTCTTCTCCAGCACCTAGTGGTGCATATTCCTAAAAGAGCTAGAACTTCTGGCTGCCAAACAATTTTGGAATCTCCTTGGCTATTCTACACACAATGCCGTACAATCAGGGCTCTACTGGTAGCAGGAGCACCTTTACATATTAGGCCACACACCCCTAGTGTAGCCATTCCTCCAAGAGCTTACAGAGCTCTTCTTACTGGGGCTACTGTAAGCTCTTGGAGGATTGGCTACACTAGGGGTGTGTGGCCTAATATGCAAAGGAGCTCCTGCTACCAGTAGAGCCCTGCATACAATAATAATAATTATTTCATCTGCATGTTTTTTCAAAGCTGCTTATGAGAGCTAGTCAGCTGCTATTTCCTCCAGTCCATCTACATGCACCATATTGTCTCCCCGCAGCCAGACTCATCACGCTTAGAAATCAGCAACTAACTGTAGGCCCATAGGCTGAATTCTTGTTGGTCATCACCTCTCTTTCTCCCCTTCGTTCAGCTCCAAAATCCTCAAAACAATTTTGTTGGAGAGATGAAGGCAGGAGAACGCAAGGAAGAGAGGGAAAGTCTGACTTTGCCTTCTGCTGTTCACTGGTGTCTCCTCCTTTTAACTTTTCTGTGTCACATGAGAGAAATGAGTTGGGTCATCGTTGTCATTCCCCGCAGCCTATGCATGTAATTAGGTGGAAAAGTTGCCTCTGAGTGTGAAACACAGCCCTTATCACAGTTCCCTCTAATCTGTGCTAGGGGGCGCTGGTACACAACATTTCAGAAGCTAGCTTGGAGTAATTCTGCTCTGCTCACAACCAAGCTTCCGTAGGAACAATGGAGGATGGGGTCACCTCCTTCTGGGGCCCAATTGGACCCCCTGGTCCAATCTTTTTGAAACATGGGGATTTTTTTGAGGAGGAACACCAGCAACTATGCTGCAAATTTGGTGCCTCTATCTCAAAAAACAGCCCCTCCCAGTCCCAGATACCCCTGGATCAATTCTCCATTATAGCCTATGGGGCCCATAGGCTATAATCGAGCCAGGAAAAAAAATGGGGTTTTTTTGGACACCCCTATGATGCTTTTCAGTATGATTTGTAAGCTGCCTTGAATCACGGGGGGAACGTGGGATATAAATATTTTAATAAATAAGTCATTTGGACAGGTTGATGACATTTAAGCAACTTCCTGTTTGTTGGGTTATGCAGCGTTCTGAAAATGATTGTTCCACCTCTGTTATACTTGACCTGTAATGCTGGTTGTCATATTTCACTAAAAAAACTGAAGTAAACTGCAAGAGCCCCCCCCCCCCCGGAGTGCTGGCATGTTTTTTAAGGGTCAGCACAGGGCATTGGTCCAAGGCCAGGTCCACCAATATTGTGGACTGAGGTGGGTAGACCTGTTCTCCTGAGGCCAGGTCTACCAATATAGTGGAAAGGGGTGGGTATACCTGTTCTCTGGAGGCCAGGTCTAGTGGACTGGGGTGGGTAGACCTGTTCTCTGAAGGCCAGGTCTACCAATAAAGAAGAAAGAGGTGGGTAGACCTGTTCTCCTGAGGCCAGGTCTACCAATATAGTGGAAAGTGGCAGATAGACCTGTTCTCTGGAGGCCAGGTCTGCCAATATAGTAAAAGGGGTAGGTAGATCTGTTTTCCAAAGACCTGGTTACCAATATAGTGGAAAAAGGTGAGTAGACCTGTTCTCCGGAGGCCTGGTTACCCATATAGAGGACATTTTGTGAAATGAAATTTGACTTTTTCTGTTTTCTGAGCCTGCCTAGCTGCCCTAAGCCTGCCTTGGCGGGGAGGGCAGGGTACACATCAAATAAATAAATAATTAATAAATAAACAATGTTTAAATTATTCTTAACGTAGACTTTTAATGTAGTTTAGAAGAATTCATTGATTTTTACTAGGTTATGGAAATAATCTTAAAAATAATTTATGCAATAGTCAAATGTAGACTTGCTCACAATATTAATGCTACTAGCCTTTTTTGCTCACAAGGTAGAATTTCTGCTCACAACACTGTGCAGCTAAGAGGGAACATTGGTCCTTATTATGGATTCATCTAAATTTATTTATTTACTTTATTTTTATTTCCTTATTTGCTTTACTTACTTCATTTATACTTTGCTTATTCACTTCATTTATACTCTGCTTTTCCCCCAATTGGGACTCAAAGCAGTTTACATCATTCTCCTCTCCTACATTTTATCCTCACAATAGCCCTGTGAAGTAGGTTAGACTGGCCCAAGGTCACCAAGCAATAGATTCAGGATGGCCAAAGGAAGATACTTCTTTACTCAGTCAGTGACTAAAATGTGGAATTTGCTTTCAGAGGATGTAGTGATGGCTACAGGCATAGACAGCTTTAAAAGGGGATTAGATTCATGGAGGATAGGTCTATCAGTGGCTACTGGCCATGGTGACTAACAGGAACCTCCACATTCAGAGGTGGTAAACTTCTGCATCCCAGGACCAAGAGGCAACATCAGGGGAAGGCCTTCACCTCTATGACCTGTTGCTGGCCCTCCAGAGAAACCAAGTGGCCACCGTGTGAGACAGGATGCTGAACTAGACAGACCATTGTCTGATCCAGCAGAGCTCTTCTTATGTTCTTATGAGTTCCCTAATCTTCTGCAACAAATAGTGGGGAGGTGGGGGACAGGTTCCATCCTGTGAGTGTCACAGTTTGCTGCATCCAACCCAATGGAATTAAACAAGCATCCAAATTCAAAGAGCCAGTACAAAACCATATAAAGGTTAATCAATTCCATGCAGGACAGGATAAAGACGGTGGTGATTTTGTCTTGTGTATCATTGAACAGTACATAGAAGTGGAAGAGCAGATGCTGAACATGTCTAAGGCAGCAGGTCCAAGCATTTCCAATTAAAGGATCTCCACACAGTATCAGAAAGCGCTCTCACTGAGAGTGGAGATACTTGGCCAACAACTACACAGTAGCGGTTAAGTAAATATGGTGTGGTGTGACAGTGTTTCCCTACCTAGGCTCTGTTTCACTGATTGATGGGGGGGGGGGGCAGGAGGACATCACATCTTGCATCCTTTTAAACTGAGCATTACTGGGATGGAGGAGGTGTGGAAGAATGGCAGCCACCCCCACCCCCCAATAGATGTGTAATTTGGCCCACGGACCCTGGAAAGCTGGCATCCGTGGACTAGTCATCCCACCACTGACCTAGCTCTGTTCATGAGAGCTCTTTATCTCCTTGTGTTTTTACTCTAAACCACACAGACAAAACCATTCCGCAGATATGTGCTAATCTTCGTTTCAAGACTAAAACATCCCTTAAGCCTTGAGCCTACTCGTATGTTTCGTGCATTGTGAATGAATAATCACATATTGGTAAAGAAAGGTAGACTTCTACACCTTTTTTTAAAAAATGCACATTTTTAACAGATAGACTCCTACCTTCCCGGACAAGTTCATCAGCTGTACTGACTCCATGTTCTATCAGCTTCTGGCACTCTTCCAAGGGCTTGATGCTGTCCTGTTCAATGGTGTCCACTTCCTGCAGCAAGGACACCAGCCTCTCATCCAGCAGCTTCCTCAGGGTCCCTTTTAAATCATTAAAATGCTGCCCAAGTACATCCCTCGTCAGAGCTGCACTCTCTTTGATCTGAAGGGAGACAAAGGAAAAGGCAATACAGATGTTAGGCCTTGGGAGGGGCTTTCACCATCCTGAGTCCAGATGCCTTGCATTTGTGGGTAGCGAGGGGTATCAACACTCACCAGCTATCCTGGAACAATGAACAAATGTCAATGTCAATGTGAAGCATGTTCGAAAAGAACACAACACAGAAGGGATAGAGAACATCACCAGCTTCCCCATTTTGCTCTCTGACAAAACTGTTCAAAATCTAGGCTCTTAACAGTGCAATCCTAAGCAGAGTTACTCGAGTCCAAATCAACGGGCTTAGACTGGAATAACTTTTCGTAGGATGGCACTCCAAGAGATGTAAACCAATACCAAGTAACTAAAACCAGTATATTTTGCATAGGATTCACTGAGAGGTTCTTGTAAGAAAAGAAATCTGCAACTGTCCTATCACTTTTATAGGTTGCACCATGAGTAGGCAACTCCTGGCATGATGATGCCATATATATGTTTTGGGACCAACACATTGAAGAACTGCCTAATCCCTTACAAATCCACCTGAACTCTACAGTCCTCTTTGGAGGCCCTGCTTCAGGTGCTCCTGCTTTCTAAGATTAGGCGGGTGGCATCCAAGGAGAGTACCTTCTCACTCGTGGCACCAAAGCTCTGGAACTCTCTCCCTAGGGAAATCTGTCTGTCCCCTTCTGTTGCCATCTTCTGCCAGCAAGTTTTGTTTGGCATTGCCTCGGTGATTCCTTCCTCCTAACCAATGTTTTGACGTTTTTATGTTTTGTGGGTATTTTAACTCTGTTTTTAATTGTTTTAAGGAGGTTTGTCGGGGGTGGTGGTAATTTTAATGGTTTTAAAATGTAATTTTATCTTGCATGTTTTAAATTTTTAGCCACCTTGGGTGGCCCTCGCAAGGGCAGAAAAGCAGGATATAAATGCTGTAAATAGAAATTGTCATATTATCCTGTTCGATTTTGTTCAACATGTACTGCTCATTCTCTACCCAAGACAAGCCCTCAAGGTTCTGGCTGCACTACTGGAGCTCTGCTTACTCCCAGCGCATCTAGCCAACTACGACCTTCATCTCCAACATTCCCTATTTTGTTTGCCAATGCACCAACATTTTCACAGGTCAATGGGGAGGTATCTTGGTGCAAAAGATTGCTTTCACCAGTATGCACTTTTATAACCTTGCCTATAAGTAACTCCCTCTGAAATCCATCAGATGTAATCTGATGTAAATGCAGTCCTACCTGCACATTTTATCCATACAGTCAGCAGAAGTTAACAACAAGAATATTTTTTATTAGTAATGTGGCGTGTTTTTGGAATGCTCTCAAAACCATTTAGCACAATAGAACAGAATTAGAATAACCTATCTGTTCAAATATACTTTGGTATAGAAAGCTAAAATTAAACCCAGACTGTTTTCTTGAGTCTGAGGAGCTAGCTCATAATTCAAACACCAAAAATTTCTGCAGAAAATGCAGGAAACTCAACCATGTGCAGAATTAGAATGGCCCTGCAGAAGTAATTCTTTTCAGTCCACAACAGTTCAGGGTTGGCTTAAATGCTAACACTGCAGGCAGACACAACCCTCTCAGATCTGTTTGTTTTTAAAAGAAATTTGAGTATTTTTTTTAACTGAAACACAATTCAACATATTTGTAACACAAAAAAATTAAGTCAACTACAGGGGGGAAAAAAGTGAGATCTGGCATTAATTCTAAAAACGTTTTTGACATCCATCTGGGAGCCGCTCTGAGCCAGCTCTCCTGAATCACGGTAAGTATGCTGTCTGTGAAGGACAATCTGTTTGCAGGAAAATCTGTTTTGTGTCTGTGTGGCCCCAATCTGCAGATTTAGATATTCTCAGATGTCGGCCCCAAGTCACTATTACATATATACGTAATAATAGTAATGAAAATTTTCCCACTCTATCTTCTATTACTGCTATTACTATGGGAAAATATCAGAATAATCCAAACTATGAACGTCAGTAACATCAGAAGGGACAAGACTCTCACCATTCCACAATTAAGCATATATCAAGTCTCCAATTCTAACATATTTATTACCTATGCTATGTTTTTCCTGTTGAACCCAAACAGATGATAGCCATATATACTAAGCTTATGATTCTTTTAATCTGTTAAAAATGCCTTCATTAGACTTCCGGTTTATGGCGACCCACTAGCGGACGCGTCCCTGGTAGCTCCTGGGGAGGTGATCCGCGCGCCAGCGGCTGGGGGGGGCATTCTTTGCCACCCCCCCAGAGCCTTTGCGATAGGCTCCTAGCCATGGGGCTTTGAAGGGTGGCCTCTTCGCCAGCGTGATGCTGGGGAATTGAGGCGCTCTTCCCCCCGACGGTCCAGCCATTGTGCGTCCGTAATGGAACTCGAGCCACCAACCGGGACAAGCATTTGGAGATCGGGCATTTTTCACATACCTTTGGCGAGGTCTTCAGACCAACAATGAACAGTGAGTCGAGTTAAGCAAAAACACTGGGATTATAAAAGAAAGCTCCCCCGGGAACAACAAGATTAGTGAGCGGGGGAGGGGGCCCTCCCATACGCATGAACGAAGTAGCAATTTTTCAAGGGGGAGCTGAAGTAAAAGCGTTGAAATCTGTTTTGAGGAATACACTAGAGTGCCAATAAGCGTTTGGGTGAATTGCAGAGACTTCAGCAAGTTCTCTTTTAAAAATAAACAACCAGCAAACATGGCGCTGAGGAAAATGGAGAAAGAAAAGCAAGCGAAACTTAAACCACCTGGAAGTATGAGCCCTTGAGCAGAAGATGCCACGGAGTTTTCTAAGCTGTTAGCGGACTCTTTGCACCCTCTACTGGACCAGATGACAAATATCAATCAACAGTTGACAGCATTAAACCAGAACTTTGCAGCTCAGCAACTCCAATTGAATGAAACTACAAAAATGTCGGAGCAAACAGCTGAGAAGTTGAATGAAATGGATGCCAAATCTAAAAAGGTGAACAAAAGGGTGCAGTTGCTGGAAAAGAAGCAAGTTTCAGATGAATCTCAGCTTTTGCAGATACAAATGGAGAAAGTCAACCTTGTTCTCTGGTTTCAAGGAGTCCCTGAGGCCAAAGACAAGAATCTAAAACAAATACTGAGTGATGCATTGGCTCCAATTGCAGATTTAAAAGCGGAATATCTTATAAGTGAAATAGATGTGGTCTATAGAGCCTATTCCGTATACATTAAGAAGAATAATCTGCCTGGAGAGACAGTGGTAAGATTCTCGAAGAGACATGTGAGGGACCAAATTTTGAAAGCAACATCAGGAGTACCCCTGAAAATTAGAGGCAATATCATCAAGATCCTAAAAGACATCCCATTTGAAATACGGAAGAAGAGGAAAAAATATAAAGACTTGATTATGTTCTTACAAACAAACAGCATTCCTTATAGATGGATGATTCCCAAAGCCGTCCTTTTCAAACTTAAGGACAAAAAAGAAAAAATTGATTCTGTTTCTAAAGCGTGTGAGTTTCTGAGACTGCAACTGGGAGAGTCGGGTGAGGACGGCAAGGAAGATGAGGACAGTAAACCTAGCGATGGAACTGTCTCTTCTATTGCTACTTCCGATGAGGACTCTGCTTCTGAGAAGGGGGCAGCTGCCCCCAAACGCGATTATCAATTGAGGATTAGAAAAGATTTTTAAAAATGAAGGCTGAAGAACTCTGAATTATGGCTTATAAGCTTTTATTAATTGATGGTGCTCTTGTGTCTCTTTAAACAGTGAAATTATTGGTCATAGACAAATAATATAGCCCAAACGACCATGTTCAATGTAACTATAGCATTTTAGACTAACACTGATACAAGTTGTTGTACAAGATGCCAATGTTGGATCAGGCCAAAGGCCCATCCAGTCCAACACTCTGTATCACACAGTGGCCAGAAATACCAGTGCCATCAGGAGGTCCACCAGTGGGCCAGGACATTAGAAGCCCTCCCACTGTTGACCCCCCCCCCCAAGCACCAAGAAGACAGAGCATCACTTGCCCCAGAGTCCCTATCTATACCTTGTGGCTAATAGCCACTGATGGACCTCTGCTCCATATGCATATCTAATTCCCTTTTGAAGCCACCACTTCCTGTGGTATACTTGGGTTTTTAGTGGTTTTCTTTCCTTTCTCCCTTAGTTGTAATTTCCCCCTCCCTTTTTTCGTTGTAGTTTATAGAAAAATGCAATAAAAAATCCCCTTCGGGGAGCCAAAAAAACACCTTCATTATTCCATATGCTAATTCACTATCCACCCTCTCTATATATAATTGTTATTTCTATTTCCATTTCCTTGTATCTGAAAAAGTGTGCACATCTGGCTGTCCTATCTACTTCCTCCAGGAGACTATGGAGCTCCTGCTTTTGGATAGAGAGGGTACTGACCCAATTCACTTGTTACTTTCTCTCCACCGTAACAGGTTGAAATTTATCTCCAAATGCAAGCCAACAATCACGACATTTTGTTTTATAAGGCTATCAAAAGAGAATCTATCGCAGTTAAATATTCTGTTTAGTTTTACAGCTACTGTAAGAAGAGAGCTTGAAAACTGAATATAGTTTGGTGAAAAGAATAAAATGGCTCAGCTGGTGAGAAATTCCCCACAAGACAGAGGCAAACTTCTCACACAGAAAGACTGCAGAGATGTTAACCAGATGTAACTTCTGATCTTCACAAGTACTGACACAGGATGCTCTTGGGTTATGAATAACTAACTTCCTTTTTAAGCTGCATTCAAAGGGCTTTGTAGTCCCTGTGCAGTTTGACTTTTCTTCATTTGTTATTTCAGTACATCAGACAAAAAAAGGAAGTGTTTGGGTGCATACATGAAACAGAGTCGACAGGAAGGGAGAAACTCCATCTTTGAGTCTTCTAGTATTGTTGCAGGCAGCACCTATAGCCTGCTGTACAAGGCAAAAGAGAGCACAGGATCAAATGCAAGGGGTTTTGGTTGCATCACCACTACTCATTATAGTGTATATATTTGTTTTAGAAAAGAGCGAGAGGCGTTGCAGCAGCTCAAGACAGCAAAACTGTAGGCACCATTGCACATTGCAATTACTTGGACAAGGAAATCACATATGGGTGAAGAGGGTATGGCACACGGGGTGGGATGCAAGAGTAGCAACATTAAGTCCATTGCACTGGTGCAATATTACAACATCAATACACAAGTATGAATTTACTGGGATGAGCTGCATGAAAAAACGAGGCGTTGTTTGTCATTACAGGAATCAATCCGGAGAATCCATGGGCTCATCACCTTGTTCACAGGTAAGAAATGAAATGCTTCTGCAGCAAACCATAGTTTGTTGTTTTCTGATCTCAAAATCAAGATCCCAAAACACTGGTTTCTAAGGTAGAGAACAAACAAACCACAGTTTGTGATCTGGAGAAAACAACGAACAATGGTTTCCTATAAAAGTAGAAGTGTTTAATTTCCTAGCCACACAGAATAAGAGAGAGAAGAAGGGAAAGGGAACACGCAACCACCAGGTGCATTGCTAGAATAATAAACCATGGTTTGTTGTTAATCCTGCAAAAGACATGGATACTGAAGTCCACAATCCAAACAGACCACAGAAGGCTATATAGCATTGCTTACACTGGAGCAGATGCAACCCTTGTGGGCAGCCACAGCATTAGGTGCAAACAGCCACTTCCTGATCAGCAACAGCAATCCTCCAGATCACTATTTAAAAAATAATTACTAAATTATTATTCCATTGTCTTTCTTTTAGGTTATAAATATGAACAGTAGTATGACAGACACACGAGCTAATAACAAATAGTGGACCAGTAACATCTGTGAACTTATTTGCAAGGTCTGGCTAGGTATGCTTGCAAATTTATTCATTAACAAAATCAACATTTAAACACAGTTATGTGGCAGTTGGATTTGTCAGCAAAATTCCTGGTTTTGAGAAATGTTCTGAAGCCCAGGGTCTAGGGAGCTCATAACCAATAAGGACCCACAATAATGTAATCTGAGTGAGGCAAGGCTCAAGTATATGACATCAGATCCTTTCAATATCTATACTTTCACTGCTAGCTCTGCAGCCCCAGGATTCCTAAAGTATCTAACACTGGGGAAACAATGTGGTAAGGTAAATCAGATTGTTAAAGAGAGGTTAGCTCAAGGTTGCCCAAATATCATTATAGTTGACAAGGAATCCCTATTTCCCTAAGTCAAATCCAGCGCTCTGTCTACCGCACTACATTAGCTCTCTGTGTTCTCAAAATTCACATCTACTTTTGATCTCAGAATCACCATATGGCTATTCATGAAAGCCTCCAAATGAAAATAACGATACTAATGTACCTACAATTGTCTGGATTAGATGCGCAAATACAAAGCCAAATACGAACTAGATATTTCCAGCTAACATTTATCTGGCACTAGCAAAACAGCTGGTAAGACCAGGTGCCAAGAATCCAAGATGGCTCAGCAGCAAACTGCTGTAGTTAGAAGTTCTGCAATAAAGGTGGGGCTGGGAAATTCAATTAGATGGATGAAATGAATCTTCTTGGCCCATTGTGCATACTAACTGAAGGCATAGGACTGCATACCTGCCTCCTAAAAAACACAGGCAGATTTCAAACTTTCATCGTATATTCCTTCATTCTCCCCTAGAATAAGTAAATACATAGCACATTTCTTCCAATGTAGAAACTACAACCAGACGTGACAATAAAATTCAAAATTTAGTCCTGCTGTAACTCATCCATCATCCTTATGTATCCCTGAAACCAGACTTTTTCATCACCATTTACTCAACAGAGATGGCAAAAGATACCAACTAAACCATGGGCCATCCACGTTCCACAGAGTCAACAGTTACATCAGTAACTCAGCATATCCATGTTTTCCCCTCAGTGATACAATCCCAGATGTATTCAATCTTGCCAGATCTAACCAATTTTTTGTATATAACTGGAAAGACATATGGTACGGCTTCACTATCTCTAGTATTATCTGCTTCCAAGAGAGATCTGATTCATTAAGTTGGGGAATGAGCTCCAGCTCATTAAGCGCTGCATTGCCAAAATAACTGGGGGGAAAGAATAGCAGAAAGCTTTCTGACCCAACACTTTCTCTTGCCCTTTGTTTCCTTAATCTTTATCACACAGATGTTTTTATGTGTCCAGGTCCTGATAACACACTGGGATAAATTAAACACCCAGTCAGTATACTAGGTCAGCTGTACATGCTAAAGCAATCCAACTAGCTCATTGGCCGTAACTCAGAGAAGCATGTGCTCTGCAGATTTCCCTTCTGGCCACACGTGCTTTTGTATCTACAAAGAATTCTCAGAGATGCCTGCAAAACAACAGTGGGAGATTCTGCTAAGCAATTCATTGCACAACAGGAGAAAGGATCTCCAGATTACGTTTTAGGATGATACAATGAAACAAAGTTTTTAAATTAAGTTTATTGTTTATGTATTGAATTTGCTAGAGGCAAATATACCAACTGTCTTGGGGAGAAAATACACTGAAACTGAATAAATACCTACAGGGTTATAATAGCAGCTCTGCATGCACTTATTTCATATTTAATTATTATTCTAATGCAAGGTCACACTCACCAGAACGGCTTTTATAAGTTTACATAATTTATAAATAATAACTCTGAAATGAATTTTAATAGTCTGCTTTTGGAAAGGAGCAGCCTGCCTTGAATTTCTAAAATGGGATAGGAGAACAAATCTAAAACCTGAAGGAGTACAGGAGCTAGCAGTTATTTCAAAACCTTTGAAACTTCTGTATCTAAAGAAAGCCACCTCCATTTGTGCTAACTGTATTCTGGGCTTGGACTTCTCATCACAGCCAAATAAATCCCACTTTTATACAAGGATGGAAACAAACAACTTTGCATATGAGTGTTTTTAAGGCAATACAGATCAGCTCCATGCCACTCCCTTGACGCAGTATGGATTCCAAACACACATTTAAATTGACACAGTGCTTATTCTTCTTCACAATGTCCTAGTCAGTGATATAGCTCACTATGTATCCCTTCTGGAAATTAGCAACAAGGCAAGGGATCCCAAAAAATCTCCATAGCCCAGTCCTGGCCAGAACATAAAGGACATCAGCCTTCATAAACACCATAGAATTATTCTTTCTACACCTTTTGATATCTATCAGTTAACCATCTTCTGTCTTCCTATGGATTGAATTGATGGGAATCGACTACCACAACAAAACCCAATACAAAATAGTCAACCCACAGCGTGAGCTGTGAATATTTACTTAGAAGTAAACCCTTTTCTATCCATTAGGGCTTAATCCCAGATAAGTACATATAGCTTTGCAGCCCTACTGTCTTGGAAATTACTTAGCACTCCCTTGAACTTGGCAGTGCCACATGTGAGGCAGCATATTAGGCCTTTTTTACACACTCAGGAAAATGAGGTGGGCTTGAGGTGGCAGAAAACTGAGGTGAAACAATGGCCTGCCCCACTTCAGGCTGCAGGTGGAGAAAGAATCGTGGAGGATTTTCCAACTTTCTCCTATCTAAAAAGCTCTCTACAAATAGAAAAACAGTACAGCAACACAAGTAGATAGACTTTCTCGTTTACACGAAGGAAAATTAAAAGCTGGACCACATCTCCCACAGTCCAAAGAGCCATATTTCATTCTACCTAATTCTCTGGGATGTGTAACTCAGGCATACCAGGAGACTGAAAGAAACGACACCGGGAAAAGTTTCCCCTGTGGAATTTCTGTTTGCACAGCCGCTGCTAAAGACGCAGAAGCCCTCCCGGGAAGATAACCGGGGCAAGTGTTTCAAAACCCGACTGTCACGAGTAAAATAGCCGCTTGCAAATAACGTTGGAGGGAGAAGAGGATGAGCCCAAAGAGGCTGAAAGTGCCGCAAGCAACACGTCCGAGTCCGGAAGGCGAGAGAGACCGACAGCGTAATCCTATGCCAGTTTACTCAGAAGTAAGCCCCCGTTCTATCAAGTGGGGCTTACTCTCGGGTAAGCGCGCACAGGATTGCGACCGAAAGCCTCGCCTCGCCTGAAGGGGTCTGATGCGAAAAGGGCCGGGAAAGCGCACGGACGGGATCCCACATCCTCGCTGCTGCCTCCACCGCATGGATCCCGGGACAGCCACGCCCACACCCCCTACCTGTTGGCGTGCCAGGTGCAGCCCCTTCAGGCGCTGCTGCAGCTCCCGGCGGTAGGTCCGCGCCGCCTCGACGCTCTCGCGAGCCTCTTGCAAGAGCGCCTCGGTTTCGAGCTCCATTCCCCCTCACCGACAGTGTACTGCCGCGACACCAGGCCGCGACAGCAGGCTGACCTACTATTGGCAGCAGCCTCACACCCGGAAGCCAACAACATCCGGGTATCTGGCTAGCCAAAAAGGGCGGGGGAGGACGGGTTCCTCTTTTGTTTTCTTCTCTTTCTCTCTAAATCGGGATGGTTCCCTCTCGCAATAGTTCAGCTTTAGGACTTATCTTCCTAGTACATTCAGTCGAAGAACAAGAGTTTTTGAAAAAGCCATGCCGTACCAATACAACACGGCGTGGAAGCTTTGATTCAGACTGTATTGGGGGCGGGGAGAGAAAAGTTGCTTTAGGCCCAGCTCTCAAGACCTCTTCTTTGTATCTGAGTAGAATTTATGTATTAATTTATTTACACCTCTCTTCTCCTTAATAGGAACTCAAAGTGGTTCATACATTGTTCTCAACTCCTCCATTTTATCCTCATAACACCCCTGTGAGCTATGTTATGCTGAGAGTGTGGCTGGCCAAGCGCACCTAGCAAATTTCCATGGCAAAGTGGGGATTCAAATTTGGGTCTCCCAGATCCTAGTCTGACACTTTAACCACACTGGCTCTCAAGGCCAGGCAAACTTGAATAATGTGTGTAGTGTATTCAAAGCTGCCTTGAATGCATGATATGTTGTGAAATATCTAATTGAAGTGTAATGTAAAGCTTCGTCCTGGGCTAGGATCCAAATCCATGCAATCCTGTTACTAGCCCAGGAAGCACGTAACCAATCACTTTCAAGCAAGCTCCCTGAGCGGGAACATCCGTTATTGGTCCTTATGTGAACAACCTTATTGGTTGGTATTTGTACAGTGGGTGTAGCTATATTAGCCGGGAATGTTTAAAAGCAGGACAGCTGCAATGTAAAGGCTGTTCTGGCTATCAGATGTTGATCCGTGTTGGAGTTGTGTTTGAGTTGAAGAATAAAGTTGTGTTCTTGCTGAATCACTCTCCGACTGCTTTGTTAAGCGAGCGACTTAACAATGTGGTACTAGGTGGAGCTGGTTTGAGGTCGCATTTTCTGTATCATTTTCCAGGGATGATTTCAACACCTAACATGGGGTAGCAGTACTAGGCATCTCCTCGAAATACTACTTGCTCCCTTCATTAAATCCAATAACATGGATGAAAAAATTATTTCCCTCCACTTGAAAAAGTTAATATTTAATGTGTATAGCAGAATCCTTATTTCCCTAACAATGAGCTTCAGCATTCCTTTGCTTCCTCACTCTTATTGTCTTAGAGTTGACTCCGATTCTGTTACTTGATTTAATCAACGAGTGGTTTTTATATATGCCAGATATACTAAAACAATTGACAGGAATATGCAGTTGAAACGTTTTGTTAAAATAATGTTCTGGTATTTTGAGCACTCAGATTTAAAACTAATGCCACATGGAACATCAGATTATTATGAAGCAAGAACACGGGATCACAGTTTAGGCCCTATAATATGTTAATTTAATGGGATTTGTTTCAAAGTAAACATGCATAGGATTGAATTGTTAAATTGCATACCTGAAAATGAGTCCCAGCGAACGCAATGAGACAGATGCAGATATGCAATTCAAACCACCATATCCTCCAGATTAGACTACTGTAACACACTCTTTATGTGGCTGCCACTGAAGATGTTTCAGAAATTTAAATTAGTACAAAATGTGGAAGCACACGGAACATTTAACTCCAGCGCTGCATCAACTGCTTTAACAACTGCTTTACCTTTAACACACTTCACATTGTACTCTCCTCATGCTTATCAAACTGCATACTTATGTGCATCAGGTACATTCTTCAGTCTTCTCGCAGTGCTCTGTTTTAGGCTTCTGTCTGGCAATTAGGGTTGCCAGCCTTCAGGTGGGGCCTGGAGATCTGTAATTTCAAAAGATCTCAAGACTACACAGATCAGTTTCCCTGAAGAAAATGGCTGCTTAGGAGAGCGAACTTGATGACCTTATAGCCTGCAGAGGTCCCCCCCCCCCGCCAACTCCATCCTCCCCGATCTACACAAAAATCTGCAGCAGTTTCCCAATTCAGAGTTGGCAACCCTAGGTTGTGGGTATTTTTTTCTGTGGTACGACCAGCCCTTTGAAATGGCTTACCAGAATGGTTGCAGAGAGTACCTTCATGTTCTGAATTCAGGAAGGGGTGTAAAATGTTTTTTATTTCAAATGGTATTTGGTGTATGGTAAACTATTTCCAGCAGATTTTGCTGCTGTTTTTTATTTTGCTATTCAACTGTTGCATTATTTTTGTTTGCAGTTTGTCAATGCTTTGTAAACTAACTTGACTTGGAGATAAGGCACAATGTAAATAGTTCAAATTTTTTAAAAAACAGGAGTCTTGTCACTCAAAAAAATCATGCCAGCATAATCTTTCCTGGGGATGTGGAATAGTATAGTATAGTCTGATCTTGGAAGCTAAGCAGAGTCGGTTCTCATGGGAGATCATGCAGGAGGAATCTGCAGAGGAAGGCAATGGCAAACCACCTGTGCTTCTGACTTGCCTTGATAACCCCTCACTGGGGTGCCCGTAAGTCCCCCGCTCCCCCTTCTTTCCTGGATAGAGCCTTCTTCTTCATATTCGATGTTCTATACAAAAAGTTCTAAACAAGAATTTATACACAAATATGTTACTTGCACCTGAAGAAATGGGCTCTCACCCAAAGCACTAACATGACTCTTTATTCAGGTGGATAGGTAGCCTTGTAGGTCAGAAGTAGCAGAACAAAGTTTGAGTCAAGCGGCACCTTTGAGACCAACAAAGTTTTATTCTAAGTGTCAGCTTTCCTGTGCAAAACACACTTCTTTAAACAAAACTTTTTTTAAACTCCTTTATATTTTTGCTGGAACACGATAAAAGACTACCCCTCTGGAATTATTACCATAGAAGATAACAGATAAAGAACTGAAGTACACAAATAATGCAAAACTGTAAAGCATCAGACCACTAGATAATTACAGGACATTTCAATGGCAGACCAAGAACATCGCTCTTTGAACAAGTGTGACCCCTAATGGCTACCGAAAAAAGTTCGAGTCAGGTGGCACCTTTATGACTATACAGGGCTTTTTGGGGGGTGTTCCGGCTGGCTCCTGAGTTGGCCACACCCAGCAGGAACTCATTAGCATAATAGGCCACACCTAACAGCAGAAACTCATTAGGATTGGCTACATGTGGCCTAACATGCAAAGAAGTTCCTGCTACAAAAAAAGCCCAGGGTTTTGACAACAAAGTAAACAGAATAAGAAACAAAAGGTGGGTGTGGCTGGATGACCACACTTCTGGTGACATGGGGGAGTGGCCTAATATGCTAACGAACTGTGCTATCATGGGTATGGCTTAATATGCTAATGAGTTTCTGCTGTTGAGTGTGGCCTATTATGCTAATGAGTTCCTGCTGGGCTTTTTCTACAAAAAAAGCCCTGATGACCAACAAAGTTTTATTCAAGTTATAAGGTTTCCTGTGCATGTACATTTCTTCAGACACCTTGAATTAAAACTTTGTTGGTCTTAAAAGTGCCACTGGACTCGAACTTGTCCCCTTGCTCTTTCAGACTACTACGGTTACCCGCCCAAGGGCTCTCGTTTGGCTCATTTGCTCTCTTTCCTTTCTTTCCCTGCCTGGCCCCGCCTACTCCTCTCTGGTCGCAACAGGCGGGAAAAGTAATCTTGACAGATACCGTAGTCAAGCTGTCATTACAAGGCCGACTCCCTCGAAAAACCAAAGGCGATTAGGGAGAGGGAGGCGCCGCCGCTACTGCTGGGATCAAACGACCAACAGCTATATGCCCTATGAATAAAATCTCATGTAACGGAGGGCGGGAGCTCACGTGACAGGGGAAACGGGTGCGGTGCCAGCCTTGCCTGCGCTCCCCTTGTCACGTGAGCTCCCGAGGAGCACGCCCCGCCCCTCGCCTGCCGTCACGGGGCTCCGAATACGTCCCGCGCGCGCTTTTCTGTTTTGCCCGCTGGTTCCCCCGCGCGCGAATTTCTGACAGGGCCCGGCCGAGTGGTCGAAGGAAAGAGACCGAGGGCTTGCGAAGGCGGGCGGGGAGAGTGGGGTGACTGTCCCTCATGGCGACGACTCCGAGGACCTTTTGCCGGGGCTGAGGGATCTCTCTCCGGCCGTTACTGGGAAGCAGATGGTGGGGAGGGTGACCATGGCCACGGCGGCTTCCCCATCCGACAAGGACGGGGATGCTCAGGTGAGAGACGGGGGCTCGGAAGGGGCATGAGGACTGGCCGCGGCCCAGCGCTCTTGCATTTGGTGGGGCAGCTTTGCACGGGGCGGGGTGGCTCTATGGCCAAAAGAGAACTTTTAAGTTAAGAAATCAAACACGGCTTAGGACATTTCCTCTTTATTATTTTAACTTCCTTTTTTATTTCGCTTGTCTGAAGGAGGCAGAATAGGTGGCCCCCCTGATTTTATCCTCACACCGACCCTGTGAGATAGAGTAGGCTGAAAGAAAGAGAGCGGCTTACTTAAAGTTACTCACTACACTCCGTGGCCATGGGGAGGTTTGAACTCGGCGCTTTTCATTGCTAGGTCTGTGTTTTTAACCACTGCATCACAGTACCATGACACGGAGATCTGTATTGTTGTCACACTGTTTTTTTGTCTACCTTAAGATAAAATTTCCTTGTCATTTCTCCCACAATTCTGTGTTTTTCTATTTTAAAGTAAATAATAAACAATGGTTGACATGTTCAGTCCCAAAGTGAACTAAATGTGACCCAAAATACTCTTGGTGGCTGCATATTTATAATGGCTCAGATGAGTTGGTAGGACATAGAAGGAAGTTTTCATAAACACACTCCTCCTTCAAAGCCAGTATATGAACAACTGACCCACCTGTGAAATTAACCTCGTTTTAATAGTCATGCCCTCTCCTCCCGCAGATCCTTCATGTTCTGTGCAAAGAGGGGGAAGGCCAGAGCAAGTCTTGGTACCATCAGCAAATTGCAATCCCCATGCTTCTCTGGAGAAGGCATGATCGTTAAAACCAATATATATTAGCATAGCTATGCGCAGATCTTTTATAAGGGGAGTTAAAAAAAATAATAATGTGTGAGTAGATCCCTTCTACAAAACTGCGTTTAAATCTGGTCATTGTAGGCTTGTACTTATTTATTTACCAACTTAAAAAAAATATCACTGTACATACCTGTAAACTTGTATGTACATTTAAGATGACCACCTAATTTTCTTGATGACACTAGTGCAGGGGGGGGGGGACTAGTCCTTCCTAGGTCCTCCTTGTTTACCAGGCAAATAACTTACTAGACTCACAGTGTGGTCCACTCTTTGCAGGTGGCATATTATCTTTCGGTTCTTTTCTGCAAGGCTGGGTTAGTGGAGGAGCTGGAACTTAACCACGGTTTACAGGATCTAAGTTTTAAAAGACCATGGTTTGGATTCAAAAGTACTATTTCATTGGTGTGACAGCACTTCTGTTGGTGGGGGATGATGTTTGTTGGTGTCCCTCCCCGTCTCCTGACTCTGAGGAGCAGAATTAGGGGTGTGGACTCCCTCACTGCAAGATGAGGGGACAGGAAAATCCTGTTTTGTGACCTTCACTCCATACATAGTGTTCGGGATGCAACCCCGTGTCAATAAATGTAAATGGGGCTGGCAGCAAAATATTGTGAGATATGGGTGAGGCCATGAAAATGAACACTAAAGCTTCAGTTGGTTTGACAATATGTTATGTGTCTTTTTTTTATTTACTTGGGATTTATATCCTACCCTACAAGCGGCCCATTTCCTTTTTTTAAAATGTTTTAGTTATTCCATTTATTTTGGCTTCATAGATGGCAAGGTTCTTTAATTTTTCAGATTTATATGATTGTGCTATATCTCAGGCAAGGAACATTTAGAAACTGTTTTTGTGGGGCTTTGTAAATTTGACAGAATGTGGTTTGTTTCCTAATAGAACCAGGGCAGCACAGCTGAAGCTTAGTGATATGGCTTTGGAGCACAGTAGTAAGAGCAGTGAGCATATGTGATTCTAGAGAGCTGTGAGGTTTGTGGTAGTGTGAATGGAGCTGGATAAGACGTTGTGTTGCCTGGTATGTTATGGGAAATTTTAACCTGCTGTCCTTAAAGTTGTAGTAATGCCCATGTTGCTTTCATTTAAATCTAAATACTGTCCTGCAAGATGGAAGGGCAAACGTACATGTTGTTGTAAAGTAGTGCATTATTATGAAGTAATGTATGTTTAGTAATAGTGCCTGTTTTGCTGGTTCATTTTTACTCCCCAAAAAGTTAATTTTCTCATGCTGCAATCCTACACATAATTGTTTTGGCATAATCTCCATGGGATATCTCAGTAAACATGCATAGGATCAAGCTTCATGTCAGACAAAGGAGAGAGGAAAATGGGGTAAAGACTTAAATAATGAGGTGTGCAAAAAGTACATTGCTACTTAGTTGGAGTTTATGAACTCTTGTAAGAAGGAATTTGTAGAAGTTTGTCCTTTCTCTTTGTATTACCGGCTATAGCAATACAGGCTCAAACTACACAAGACTTTTTCCTGGAATTGGGTCGGTGTTTTTCCAACCTGACCTGCCTTTCCTGCAACCAGATGGCAGCTGTGGGAAACTTATTTCCCCAAGAGCCACAAGGTCCAATTCATATTAGGACCACTGCACAGGGGCTACAGCCTTCTCTCTACACTATTTTTTGTAGCTGAAATGGCCCTGGGGACAAATAACACACCATTGCAGAATGGCATGTGTAGCCATGGCCCTGCCCCAAAGGCTGTTTTTACTCAGAAAAATGGCACAGGGGAAGCTGAAGCCGTTTCTGTTTTCATGCTTTTGGCCCAGTTTGGGCAGTGTGGTGCTTAGGGTGCCATCTGGCTGCAAGAAAGGTGACCCAATTTATGCAAAAACATCTTGTATAGTTTGGGCCATAGTTGTCAGAGACACCAGTGTTGAAGAATGGTGTCTTCTATTGTAGTGCTGGGTACCACAGTCCTCTTCCCCTACTGGCTAACCTAATGTTATTACAGCATATAATATCTCCCCCCCCCGCAATAAAGAGTCTCGTAACTCTTAAAGATTATCGTAGCTAGCCCCATTAATCAAGTATAAAAATAGAGGAAAACAATGCATCATTTTTGTATCATAAGCGTAACAAATATGTGAAATGATGAGTAAGAAGAAATGCATTTTAATGTACACTGCAACTGTTCTTTCAGAGAATTCTGTTTTTGCTTTATAGCCATGTAAGAAACGGAGAGAAGATGATCCTTCTGTTAAAGCAATTACAAACTATTTTTCACCATTAGCAAAAAATGTCGATAGAGTGTTGTCACCACCAAAATCCAACAATATAATGGATTACTTTAAAAAAACTTCCCCTTCTAATGAGAAAATTGTTTCACCTGTGGCAGAGAAGGAAAGTAAGAAAAGTATATTATCCCTGGAAATCTCTTCAAAACCTTTGACAAAACTTAAGAGGAGAGGAAAGAGATGTAATTTAAATAATAAATTAAAAGATATGAAAACACTTGAACATGATTCAGTGAATGATAGTGAAAAATGCAGTCTGAAGGATGAGGACTTGAAAACTCATTCAATTGGTCAAAATGCACCTGAATTGCTTGACCCTAGCATGGAAGGAATGTTAAATGATTGCAGCAAAAACTCCTCCAATGCTGTCAGTGGCAAAGATGAAGAAATAAAACAGAAGATAGAAGATAAAGTAATAAATAATAACTTTAAAAGATCTAAGAAAAGGAAGCATAAGGATGAGACAGATGTCCCTGAAAGTTTTATTCCTGAAACTCAGTTAAGTGAACAATCTAAAGAAGCTGATGAGATACAACTTGTTTCTACAAGTGAGCCTGAAAATAAAAGCACTTTAGGACTTGAGAGTAAAAGTCATGAGACACTACAGTTAAATGAAAGCACAGTGACTGTGTCATTTGAAGACTTTCTGAAAAGCCAAAGAGAAAATAAAGTTGATCAAATATCAGAAGACCAAACACCTGACAATTCTGTTGTGTTGTGTGAAAGTGTCAGCTGCCAAACTGCTCAGCCATCGCCACTTAAGAAAGTAACTGTCCTTGCGGAAATTCATCCTGTTCCTCCAAAATCTCTCTCTTCTAGAAAAATAGCTTCTATCTTTTTAAAACAGAAAGCCAAAGCAGCTAAAAGACAAAGCAATTTGTCTACTCCCAAGGTGGAGTCTACTGAGCAAATTACCCAGAAAAGAAAATCTAATGTTGTGATAGCAGAGGAAGAGTTAGAGCTGGCTGTGTTGGAAACTCAAAGTTCAGAGACTGTGAAGTCCAAATGCACTGCAGAAGAAAGATCCCAGTTCATGAAAGCTTTTAGACAACCAGAATCAGATACAGTAAAAAATGGAGCTAAAAAGGGATTTGCTAAACAGAAGGAAATGAGAGAAAACTCTTCAAACCTCAAAGAAGAAATAGAAGAAAGTGAGGAGGCTTCTAACAAAAAAAATGAAGTTCCAAAAGATTGTGTTGCTAGTGATTTTCGTAATACTGGCAGACATTGTGGTGCTCGTTTGAAAAATAACAAGCTCAGTAGGAAACGGCTGACATTGGAAACAAAGGTGGAAGATTTAACTATTAATGGAAACCAGAACAGTAATGCTAATAGTCAAATTAAGGTAACTGCAGTGGAGACCCAGAACAAATTGCATCAGAGTGGATTGAGAAGAAGTTCACGGCAAAAGAAAAATGAAGCTTCCATAAACGTTACACCAAAAAAGGGGAACATTTCAGGGGCTATTACTGAAAATACGCCTGGTGATAGCCCTCTACAGGCTTCTACTCCCAAAACAAACAATAATTCCTCCAGTAAAAGTAACATGTATAAGGCTGAGGTGATAACTGAGCCCTTTGATGCAAAGAGCCCAATAAGGTAAGATCTTCATTTTAGGATGAAAGCCACTTTGGTTGAGTATAGACATTTTGTAAATGGAAGCTTTGAATGTATGTAACTTCAAAGGCTTGCCATGTTCCCCTGCATAGTACAGAATGTTGAGAATCTGGAGAGCAAGCCTTTAAAAACATTTCAGATCCCAAATCCTTATATTGTTTCAGAGCATATTTCAAATGTCATAAGACCTCCACTATAACTTGTAGAGCATTGGTTTACAGCTACTGTATCTTTCTCTCTGTAACCTAAACACATACATATAGGGATGGTTTGATCCCATGGTGGTGATGGGGGTTTGGAGAAGCATGCTTTACATCTCCTTGCACTGGCACTTTGGCTGCAGTTCCAATAGCAGCCGGAATCTGCCGAATCCAAGCCATGTAGGTTCTGTATGGATGGCTGAACTCTTAGATTCATGGAATGAACTCATCTATGCATACAGAGCCCATAAATATTGGATATGAATACATATTATGCCACTGTGGTGGTGTCAGTGACAGGGCTGTTCTTAATTATTAATTAGATTTTTTAAAATCACCACTTACCCAAAGGGTGTGTCAGCAACTTACAACGTTAAAACCATATAAGAAGGTAAAAACAACATAAAAACCAAATAGCAAATATTAAATATTAACATTAAACTATTAAATAATTAAAATATATGGATAGCACCATACCACTAATAAAAACAATGCAAACATGTGGATTGTCCTCCAAAGGCCAACCTAAACAATTCGGCCTTGCATGACCTGTGGAAACTAAACAAGTACGGCAGGGCACGGGTGTCATCTGAGAGTGCATTCCACGAGGTAAGAGCCACAACTGAGAAGGCCCTTCCCCTGGTGACAGCTAATTGAGCCAACCTGGGGCCAGGCATGAACAAGCATGCTGGATGGACAGAAAGGAAAGATGTATCCCTGCTCCCCTGTAAGGAACTTGATAATTCAGGCTTCAGGTTCTAATAAGGAGACTGGGCCTTCCTTCAGAACTTTAAGTGTTGGGATTCTGGCCTATTCAGAAAGTGCTCACTATAGTGACTAGAGACATCTTTGTGCATTTTGTTTTAATTGAAGATTTGACCTTGAGAGACTCTTTTATAGTCTCTATTCCTCCTTTCTAGTTTCTTCTCATAGATGTTAATTAACTGGCCGGCCCTGATTGGCCATTGAGTTGCTGGGTGATGCACTGAGTGTTAGAAAATACAGTTTTTTAATGCACATAGGATGGCCACTTTTTAGCTGTTTCCACCTTGGCATGCTGCTACGCTGTACCAGCTAACTATGGAGGAGGCGTGTATTCTATCAGGTGGGTAAAATGGATGATTGAAGAATAATATCCAGAGATGCCTAAAGGTAGTAAGGTTTAAAGTTTTCAGATAGCCAGGTTTTATGTAGTAATAGTGAGGCTTTTTTATATATATAATTTTGCCTGCAACTGAGTGGTTCATGCTTTGCAACACTCCTTGTGCTAATAAATTTGATTTATATTTTAAGCTGTATCTGGAATTACTAACTTGAACATAGATTCAGGTAGGTAGCTGTGTTGGTCTGACTTGAACATAGGTGCACCTACCTTGGGAGTAGAAAGCTGAGATCTTGTAAAAGCAGAGCTTTCACTCTCACAAAATAAAAGAGGAGTGTGCCCTGCCTGCCTGACTGCTGGAGCAGCTGTTTTCAGCACCCAGAATAAGAGATTTGGGGCAGCTTATCTTTACACCCTCCACACCAGTGTATTGTCCAATCCACAGGGGAAGACATTATTAAGATGGGTGGTTATAGACAGGGGATGATCTAGCCAAACTTAAGCACTACAAAGTCTCATAGAAGAGACTTATGTCTATGCTTAACTTTTGCTTCAAGGTGCTTAACTAGCTGGGTTGAGCCCTGGTTGTTGTAAGCATCACCAGAACCTCCTGAAGCTGACAGTGGCAGAGTGATGTGTGTGGCCCAGTCACATGTGCAGGTCCACTACTACTTCCACTCCTTCAACAAAAAGCCAAGTTACTGTGCTTCACTGTGGCCTCTTTGTGCTTCTGATTGCTGCTTCTCTGCAGGCGGAAGAGTTGGATGCCATAAAGCAAGCAGATCAATAAGCTGCCTAGGTTACCATTTCACCTGTTTGCTCCTTCCTACTTGTATCACTTTTGAGACAGTAGCACTTTAGAGCCCAAGAATTTTGTGGTATAAGCTTTTGAGAATCAAAGCTTCCTTCATCCAATATGAGAGAGCTGTTGCTTTATTTTCTCCTGCTCCTTCAATTTTTCATGTCTTGCTCTTTTCTGATTCTGGACTCTGCAGTGGCAAAAGGGGTATTGATGCGTGCACATACTGCCAAAGTAGTTAAGAGATACACCTTCTTCTTTTAAGGAAGGAAGAGTAAATGCCCAGCTGCGTGCACTGAACTTTCACTTACCACCATGGTGTGTTTTTTCCTTTTAATCTCTGTATTTAACACAATATAAAGAGTTTATTGGAATACTCATTATTTCCAAATAATGTTCTGCATCTGTAAACCTGGCGTATATTAGGAGTTAAATCTCTTTAATATATCTACAAAAATAAAATAAATGAGAAGAAGAAATGCTAGCAGATACTAACCTCATCATTTACATTCATTGCTCTAGTCAAAATACTAATATAAACACTACAGTTACTTGGCAATCATAGGTTACATTTTATTTACAATACCCACTATTACTAACTGTTTATCTTGCATCTGTGAAAGAATGGTGTTGAAGTGGTCATGAGAGCCAAATTTACTATGTTTTTTGTTTTTTAAAAAACTTGTATTGTGATTTACTGTACATACAGGATGAAATTCACCAGAATTAGTACCTCTGAAGGCTTTTCACCACAGAGTATAAAGGTATTGTTTGAAACAAAATTATGCCTTTTAAATAATAAGATGGTAGAGTAGGATTAGGGGTGGGGGAAAGCTGTTGCAGCCCCTTAGAATAATACTCAGGATACTTATACAAATGTCCTGTTGGGATGGTGCTGTTTTTTTCCTTTCATCTCCAAGTACTTCCAGAAGTAATACAATGCTCATGCTTTTCCTTGACTCACCAACCGACCCTCAATGCATATAAAATGTAACACCTGAACTAGGAGAAGCAATCTTTTTCATTGTGTTTTGAAGTTTCCTTATAAAACAAATACTGATCTCCCAGTTTACAGAAATAAATAAGAAAATTGACGTCTGGGACTTGCTTTTGAGTTTGTTTTATAGAGGTTCAGAGAAAGACAAGACTGTCTGAAAGGGTCCTTAAGGTATGCCAGACCAGATAATTGAATAAAGCAATTTCTGGGAAATTATATACAACATTTCTCTGCTCAGAGGGAAAGTTAATTTGATATCTTTTAAATTTTGTTTTCACATGTTACACCACAAACAGCTTCTTAAATATACAGTAGTTGCCTGCTAATGGCCCTTTGCTGGTTGTTTTTAATTTGATGGTAGATGAATGCTACTAGTAACAATATATCCAAAGCAAAAAAATTGATTGAGAAAGCAAAGGCTCTACAGCATAACAAGGCAAGGATTATGGAAGAGACATTGTGCGCACCTCTAAGACGCTCTTCTAGACAACAGGCTGTTGCTGAAAAGAAAAACCCGCAAAATGCAGAAGTAAGTCCACAAATTCCAGCTTATTTATGTCATTTATTTTATTTAGGATCTTTTAAGTAATAGTTTTTCTTTGCTTGCTGTATGGTAGAATGGAAGTTTGAAATGATGCGTGGTGAAAATGTTTACTTACGAGCTTGTCTGTAAGTTTTATTTTCCTTGTTAGCCTATATGTTATACTGCATGTCTGAAATTGGGTGAATGCTGCTTCTCATGTATAAATGGTGACAAAGTCAAGTGAATTTATAAATATCTAAAATTCCCTTGGGGACTTCCAGCGAGGCTGTAAAATGGACCTATTTAAATGAGCTTTTTGGGCAACTTGGAGGTTATACATGTTGTTTCTTGCTTACCTGTTTAATGATGTGTTTAATGATTGTAATAGATGATTAATTAGACATTGCATTTATTGTTACCTGGCTTGGGAGAAATGAGGTGTATATATAAATGAATAAAATACATTTCCCCACTTTTTAGACATACATTAGTGAATGGGTGGGATCTAGATACTGCAAAGAGATTTACTGCGTCTCCATTACTCTTGTAGCCACCCCACCACCACCACCAAAGCTGCTTCTGGGGTTGGAACTCTCAGGAATGGGGTTTCCCCCACACACACACACACATACACACCATGTGAGTGGAAATACCCTCTTGCCAGGCAAGGTGAGGTTTGGATCCATCCTGAAGTTCATAATCGCATTTGGGTGACATATTTACAAAATTTGTGGTTGTCAGTATTCACCCACGTTTGAACATATATTATAACATGTATAATACATTAGTCTTCCTCGAGTCGTAAAACTCTAAATTCAGAATGAGTAAAATATTACAGTGGCGTCTGTTGAGCTTTCAAAGAAAATAACATGTACTTTCTTGAAAACATTAATTACTTATCTGCTTTATAGCAGCTTAACGTGTAATGTACTTTTCATCCATATACCTTCTCAAGAATACCCCAGTGCTATTTGTATATAACACATGGGGAACTGAGGCTGAAGGTGTGACTTGCTCAAGGCTGAACAGGAACTGAACTCAATTTTCTAGTTCAGCTCTACACTAGTGCTGTAGAGAGGATCAGATTTTGGCCTGTTCTCCGTATTGACCTTACTCCTGATCTTCTGTGTAGTTGATCTCCAAGTTATGGAATCTTCTTGGAATTGAGCACTCCGCACCTTGTCCTGTTTTCCATAGTATTTCCTGCTTTAAATTTGTTGTTGTTTTTTGCACTGGGGCACAGTGTTCAGTTTTGAAATTCAAGGGCGGTTGACATCAGCAATGTCGTCATCACTGCCATCAGATGACCTTCCACTTTTTAAAATTTGTGCAGGCACCTTAGTGATACTGTGCTCTAGCACTAAATCACCCACCACGTCACTTGTTAAACCTCCTGCACTTTTTTCCAGAGTGGATAGGTGTTCTCACAATAATTTTCAACCCACCTCTTTAAAAAAAATTCCACAGCTACGTGGATGCGCCGTTTTGAATAACGCACCAATGAAAGTCCATTGCAATAAACATAAGAGTGATATGTATAGCAAAATAACATGAAAATTTCCCCCTCACTGATGACCATGCATTATTGCAAGCCTAATAGTACTAAAAATTACTGCTCAGCCTGGGTGAAGGGATCAGCCTGTCGTAAAGATAGCCCTGGGTGAATGGGATTACTAAAACCAAAGATCGGAATAGGTAAGGGGGGGGGGACATGAAATCATGTACTGCTGAAGAAATTAGCATAGCAGGAAAGAAGAAACTTCTCAAACATATCATGTTAGTGAACGTTAGTGAACATTGATGGCATTGGTATGATGCAAGTAAAGGGACAACCTGGGAGCAGACTCAGAGGTAGCAGGAAAAACATCAAAATAATCCAGACTCAGAATAAGAATTATAAAAATTGTTGGGGGTGAATGGTTGCATTTAAAATAACACATTAACACATTATCGCATGCATGACCATCTGAAAACATAGTGCTTACCTATACATTCACTATCGCTAATCTCTCTTATGACAAAAAAAAAAAATTGCAGCCAGAGAGGAGAGAGCAGGGGGAAGGAGGATGGAAAAGGGTAAAAGGAAGCATGGATACAGAGGAGGATGTTCAAAAGGGGGCCCACATCTCTGCTGGGAAAAATACCAGTTCCAGCATTTCGCACTGGAATCAAGCTGACTTGCAATAGGTTTGAAAATAAAATTGCCTATTAAGTATTCTTGGGGCGGGGGGTGCAAAAAACCCAAGGAAACCCCAACATTGACGCAGCATGGAGAAAACAAGTTGCGGAACAAAAAATTGGAAATGTCATTAAATGATTGTATATCCAAGGTAAAGTACACATGTGGAATGGGCCTTTGTTGGATGTTGAAAAAACATGAACACTTTAGAGGTTTCATGGTAGCAACAATACAGTATGTATGACAACCCTACCCAAATCTCTATAGGGTTCTAGTGTGAGCACAGTGTGGGCTTCCACATTTATTTGCTTGTTAGAGACACCTCCAAATATTTACTGACGATGTTGGATGACGGCTCATCCTTCAGTGAGATAAATGGGAGGACTTTCTCCAACAAGGATCCATGTGCATTGCATTAGAATGTAGGAGTAATTATTTTTCAGAAAAGCTTTATACAAGTGGTTAGGACATCTTTTTCATTGTGTAATGTTTAAAAATATGTAATATTTCTTCTGTTTTTATTCAGGAATCTGTGATTATTTTGGATTCGAGTCCAAGCGATGTTACTACTATATCAGAAGTTATGGAGAAGCAGAAGATTCTTCAAAATTTGAATGATGTTTTGGGAAAAAAGGCTGGAAATACAAAAGCAACTAAAAAATCAAGTGGTAGCTAATTTTAATCTAACTATTATAGCTATTTAAAGCATCCTCTTAGACATTAAAAGTTTAACATATTTTGTAAATATGTAAACATAGGCTGACTGCCTGAGCTTAGTTCAAGAAGTTTTGTTCCATTTGTAGAAATGGTTAAAAGCAAACATCGTTTTGTGCCTGGAAATCTATTATTTACAAGCATCTAAGGCAACAAAGGGCTTTTGGCCTGAATTCTAAAAATCTGACATACTGAGTGCTTTTTATTGAAGGCTGCACCTAAAGGAGATAGCAGACAGGCAGAAACTTGATAGTTACTTTTACTAAACTCATGGAGCAATCCTAAGCAGCTCTATTCAAAAGTAAGTTGTATGTTACTCAGTGGGATTTACTCCCAAAACAGTATTCTTATGACCGCAGCCTTAGTTACGGTACCAATGACTAAATGGTTTGCTTTTGCTGAAGTAGTCTGAAATATATTTACTCTTCTCTAGCGTCCTGTTGTGTAGGGATGAGAAAATGTTTTATTTATACACACACACACACACATATATATATATACACAGACACACACACACACACACATATATATATGGCAACAACAACAAAAGTCTCCATGTGGGCAGTGAGAAGGGAGAAACTGGGGAGGAGAGGCATTACTTTGTGTGTGGTAAAAGAAAAACCTCCGTGTACACAATATACATGGACTACAGCAACTAACTTCAAAACAGGAGATCATTGTCATTGGGAATCCTTTGCTTAAGAACAGAAATTAGTTAAAAAAATAAGAGAGAGAGAGTACTAGCATGTGCCTTTTCATGTTAATATTTTAACAAGGATCCATGACCTTGTTATATGCTAAGAATATAAAAATCCATACTAATCTAGCAATATATCGTTTTCAAGGCAAAGAAAAAGTGTCTTCGTTATTCAGGAAAAAGGTTCAGAAGCCTGCAGTTGAAACCATCAGGATCTCTGATGAAAGCAGGTCAGTTTATGAGCTTATGGAGAAATGAAATGGTTTGTGGAAGCTATTGTATTTTTAAATTTAAATTGCGTTCTTCTGCTGTATATTTGCTGCTTTAGTTGAACATTGTGATCTGATCCTCAGGTTGATCCTAAATCCTTCTGTGCTGGCAGAACCAAAAGATATGTGGGGGAATCTAGACTAGCATAGTGACACCGTTTCACCAAGAAGACCCCTGTAGGCACAAGAGGGAGACTTGAGAGTGTGTGTGTGGTGTGGGTGAAGAGTGAGAAACTTGTGCTCACTCAGACTTCACTTCTGCATTATTTCACCCCAGTGCAATTTAACTTGGTAGAACAGCTGATGAAAGTAAAATAAAGAGCTTCTGAGACCAATTGTTAACCATAGTAATGTGCATGTGGATATTTCCAGTCCAAATATATATCCAAAAAATACCTTATAGTCAGGAGTCCGGGTGGTATCTGGGATACCAGTAAATGGGTCTCAGAATATTTAGGAGTAATTTGGGAATATCTGGGACCAGTGTTTTAAGGCTCTCAGGACTGTTTTTTTCTTTAATTTTTCTGTGTCTGGGTCATTGTCTTCTTGCTGGGACTTGGTATCTGCTTGCCAGCTTGGTTTGGCATCTGTGCTTTGAAATTGGCTCTGTCAGTCTTGCAAGTTGCTACATTGTGATCTTTGCACAAGTTGGCTTGTGTTGGATTCTCTGATTTGGTATTGGCTTGGATTCTCTGTGTTAGGCTTTCCATGTTGTCCCATGCTTCTGCTGGTTATTGTTTGCCCTGGAGAAAACATAGCATTTTCCCCCCATAGGAAACAATGGAGGATGGCTGGGGGCACCTTGTTCAAGGGCCCATAGATCCAATTCTTCAGTTGGGAGTTGTTGAGTGGACAGGCACCAATGCTCCCTCTAAGCTGTGAGGTCTTGTGAGCAAAGATTCTGTTTTGTGAGCTACTGGCATTAAAGTTGTGAGTTAGCGATTTGGCTACTACATAAATTAGTTTGCTCTGGAGCCATCCTTCCTGAGCAAAGACAAGAATGGGTGCTACATAAATTAGTTTGCTCTGGAGCCATCCTTCCTGAGCAAAGACAAGAATGGGTGAGCCGGAGGCTAAAAAACTGTGAGCTAGCTCACACTAACTCAGCTTAGAGGGAACACTACTGCAATTCTGCTGCAATTTTGGTGCCATTTGCTTAAACAGCCCTTCCAGCCCCCCAGAATGATTCCCTAGAAGGAATAATGGAGCCAAATAATATCGGAATACCCCCCAAAAAAACCCTAGATCCAAATACCAAACTGGTATATAGAACCTGAATAACTTGAAATACCGACATTTTTTGGCTCCCTGATGTCCGGAACAAAAAAATACCAATATTTTTCCATGTTGCACATCCCTACTTGCCAGTTCAAGCCTATTGTACTTTACACTGCTCATGCTAATTGACTATCATAGGGCAGTGGAAGTATCCTTCCTGGATGTTTCTTCCTGGAGGCTGTTGCTAACTTTTCATGTATCAAGCCAGTGCTGCTTCGTGCTTCACATAAGCCTCCTATAGTACTGTCCTAGTTAACAGGGATCCTTCAGTAGTGTTATGGTAAGGCTATGTGATGTTGTGGGCTGGCCCCGGGAGTCTGTAAAAGGCCTGCTATTAATCATTTCTTCTGTTTGATCCTGAAACTGTGTAGCCAGGTTGTGTTGCTTCTGTCTGAAACTTTGTTGCCCATAGATTTAAGTGGGTAGCTGTGTTGGTCTGAAGCAATAGAACAAAGTTTGAGTCCAATGGCGCCTTTAAGACCAACAAAGTTTAATTCTTGGTATAAGCTTTCATGTGCTTATAATTATTGTAGCTTGCAAGATATTCCTTTCAAATTACATTTTGCTACTTCAGGTCAAGTGAATATTTTTTCAACCTGAAATAACAAGCATTTTTGATAAAGAAGAATTCATCTGCATTGTGTGCGTATGTGGCACTTAACAAAAGTTGAAAAAGTGTATTTTTAAATGTAATGCTGGTGATAAACTCCAGAGGAGAGTATGATGTTGCTTCAACAATGGTAAATGTGTCTGCTTAATATACAGTGATTTTCAAACTTCCTTCCACATCAGAGTCTTTGGGGAATCTTGTGGCATTTAGAGGATTCTTTGGCATTTTATGCCTCTATCCAGTGTGAACTTGTGAGTACATTCTAGAATTCACCAACACCCCTTCGTGGCTTTATACTGCAGATAAAGATTAGTATTTTATTAGTTTATTTCATTCATAGCCTTTCTCTGTGAGACTCAAAGCAGATTACAACATTATAAACGGTCATTCAGTTTATAATCTTCCACTAATCTTCTCATAGACAACCTTTGACAAGCTTCTGAGGAACTCCAAGATAGCTCTGAATACAGTTTGAAAATCACTGGAGTAAAGGGAATATATATACACATACACACACACACACTGTAATTAATATATTAATACTAAACGTCTATCCACGACATTGGGTTATTTCCCTTAGTGAAGATGAATCTGAAAATTCTCAAGATGATGAGCAATTCAAAGCAAAACGTAAATTTTTGATGAGTGGTTTGCCAGAGTCGCTGAAAAGGCAAATTGCAAAGAAAGCAGCAGCTTTGGAAGCATATTCTGCAACAAATTCCTGTCTTCGAACAGTGGGCCATGTGCAGCAGAAGGATGAGGGTGAGTATTGATTACTTGAGGCATGGACTTTTTTTTACCTTCGGGAAAAGTTTGTTGGCACTCTTCTTCCACTGCAGAAGCAAAACAAATACATCAGCGTTATACATTAAGGCAAATAAACAAGTAGCATGTTTAAAATTCTGCTTGCGATTGTAGGGTCAAGGAAATTATTGTTTTTCTTTGGAGAACACTGAGGAGGTAAATAGATCTAAGATAATGTGTATATTTGCTTTCTACGGAAGAAAAATAGAAAAGGGAGATGGGATTTTATAGGGCTAATATTTATCCTTTCCTGAATGTGAGTTGCATCAGGAGAACAATAGAGCCTGAAAAATCATAATGAGAGACCTCTTTTTAAGGATGGCAAGGACAAGAACAGTTTAGAAGTTGAAGTGCAGTATAGTTTTTTTAAAGCAAAGATTAATTTTTGGAAGTGTTCAGGATAGCAAAGAACTTGCATATAGGCATTTTGTATCCAGGTTAATATACCAGCTTTTTAGTTAAGTGATGAGTCTGTCAGCAAACTGCTAATACTTTTTGATCACTTGATCACAATATATCCATTGATATATTTATTAATTCTGCTAACTGAGCTTTTTTTGTTTTGTAGCGTGCTTGATGTGGAAGTTGACACCACCCTCTTGCCCTCTCTTAACTAATCTAAGAGAGAATTTGGAAGTAACTGACATTGCACAGTGTACTTTCTCACTTGGTGAATTTTCAGTTTTAAAAGCTCAGTCTAATAGCACTGATTCTGCAATTATTACGGTTAGTACTTTGTAAATCATTTTACTCTGTCCAGCTTTTGTGAATAAATTTCATATATTATTAAACTAACTTTCTTCTACTCAAGTCCTGCTTTAAAATTGCACAGCCTATGTGATTTCCTGGGTTTATTATATGCTATGTTTTTCACTCTTAGAGTAACATTTGTTATTTTTCTAATTGCAGTCATCTGGTTGGCGGCCAGTTCTTTCTGAAACACTGAGGAATTGTTTGTTGGAAGAGATAAAGGCTTCTAACCCCCAGTTTCCTGCAAAAAGGTTTTTTGATATACTCCTGAAAAAACAAATCACTCCTGAAACTAATAAACAAGGTTAGCAACATATATAATTTGAAATCAGAACACAGACATAAGTAGCAACCTAAATGCTTACTCAATTTACTTGCTTACACAACTTCATCTTGGCCAGGTTTGGAGAGGTTTATGTACTTCTGCATGTACAGTTTTTTCCTCTCCTGGCAGCAGTCCATTGCACCTTATTGGTGCTGTTCTTGAGGGTTTACATGTCTTTGGGTATATCTCTTTTTAAAAAAAAACAGCTGTCAGTGGAAGGGGGAGCTGACAGATGTTGTACAGTGCCTTAGATCAAGAGTCTTTGTGAGTAAACCATGTACAAATTATTTGGTAGAGGTAACCATGAGAAGTGCTAAGACTGCTTGACCTGATCTATGTTTTGTTTTCCTTTGACTAGTAAACAAATGTGAAGCTGTAATCAGGGCAAGCATGAAATCTGACAATCGGCGAGAGAACAAAAGAAAACGAAAAACTGAGGGCCATAAACACAAAAGAAGGAAACAGACAGAAAAGGCAGATGTGAAACTGTCCGATACAGCTTCCAAAGAACTGTGTGTAAAACAAGAAGGCATGGAAAACAAAACCCACACAGTGGACACAGATGAGACTGAACCCCCTGAAATTATAACAATAGAAGATGGTGATGTGAACACGGAAATAAGTTCTATTTCTGGTAACTTTTTATGCTTTTGTCCATAATGCTTTAGAAAATGTTGGGAAGGTAGTCCCATTATCACAGGGTTGGTCCTGCCTAGATTTCCATGGGTTCAAGGAAAGGGTGATTATTGCAGATCCCCCCTTCTGTGGAACCCCATCCCTAAATGCAGGGGGGACCCCCAGGAATAGCTTAAGGAGGGAAATTGGAGGTCTCCTGCAAAGGGGGGGGGGAATCAGCAAAAAATCCTAGTTGTAGTCATGAATTACTCATTGTACTCCATATGACAACTCTTGTGCGGATTTGATGAAGATGCAGCATATTGAGGAACTACTAATCCACTGAGAACCTTGTTGGAGCACAGTCTGAATGGATCTACATAAGATTAGTAGAATGATTTACTTAAACACATACATAGTGGCTTTGATTCTGCTGCACAGATGGATCATGCAAAGGATGGGACTGCTGTACCATTCGCCCTCCACTGTTTTGCATCCTTCATAAGCTATAGGATCTACCAACCCTCTGAAACTGATTTCTGCAGCTAACGCTGTGGTAAAGGTTAATGGAGGAGGGAATGGGACACATACACACATGATTTTGGCAGGGTCCTTGGTTCAAGTCACTAATAATGTTATGGTACTAATTTGTTATATAATAGAAAACATATTTTTTTCAAACTTTGGCTTGCATAACCAATAGTAGCACCAGTGCTCTGGAGTAGCTTGAAATCAATAGGACTACTTTAGAATAAAAAGTTTGAGGATATGTCTGTTTTGTCAAAAGATAAAATTAAGACAAGATCAACTAATAAGGCATTTTATCCTTTGTGTAGCTAAAGCTATTTTTTTTAAAATGAAATTAGTAGGCTCCAAGTAAGAATGAAGACATTTTCAGCTGCTTGCTGAATGCTGGTTATGGTAAGCGTGTAGTTATGGTCTTGCACACTAAAACGGGTAGTTTCTGTGTTTATGACTGCAGATTCTGCCAATGAAGATGTGCTCTGGACAGAGAAATATCAGCCACAGAACTCCAATGAGCTAATAGGCAACACTGCAGCAATTAAAAAACTACACAGGTTGGAAATGATTGAACTTCTTGAATTTTTTAAAGTGATTGTTGCAACAGCTGAATTCTTTCCAGGCTTATATAATGGTGTATAGTGCTAGTCAGCAGTCTGGCTGAAGTTAGTTCTGGCTAATTTTTCTTTCTTTCTTTCAAAAATAGAATAAGAAAGAAAAATACTCAAGATCCAGCTACAAATTTTTTAAAAGTATATATATAAAGTACACAAGTTTCTATAAATGTTTTCCAGATATCGAAAAATAAGTGCATACACAATTGTTGTCTATATGCCATTATGGCAATCTCACCCTCTTTCTTCCCTCATGCACAGGGTTTTCCCTTTGTTTCTTCTTTCTTGCTTGCTTGAGCAGCCCCTATATCTGTTTTGTTCTTATTTGCTGGTCTATGGCTGTCCTACCCTGTCACATTATTATATATTTTGATGCTGGCCCAGCCCAGGACTTGAGAGAAGAGACAAAATCATCTGCTAATATTCTGCTCCTGTGATGGCACATAAGAGGCTTTTCAAAGTTCAAAAGTAAACAAAATATTTTATTTAACTTGGAGGGGGAAAGGACAGGTGGAATTAGGGATAGGATGGTGAACTGATAATAAAAACTGAGGTAACTTTGTAATCACACTAAATCCAGTTAATATGTTGCCAAAAACTGTTTTTGCTTTTCAACAAGGTCTTTGAATCTCTGAGGAGAGAGGCTTTCTTTTCAGTTTCTGCTTTAACTTGCAAGCATAGGTTTCTGAGTTTCACTGACACTTCACATTTAGAAGTCAGGAATGTACAACATAGTTCCCAAAGTCCTTCTCTCTGCACAGACCAGGGATCATTCCTCTTTTAAGCGTTATCTCCCTTTTCACTGGGCAGGGATTACTTCTCTTGACTAGAAGCTCTGTCCCTTTTCACTTTGAATGGGTATCTTCTATGATTCTCTCACTCCTCTTGCCTCCTTCCCAGTCCTCGTCAGTGCTAAACTGTCTCTTCTTCAACTGTCATTTCTTAACCCAAGCTCTCCACAGAATTCCATTTGAACAGCCTGTCACTCAAAGGTTCTCAGACTCTGTGAGGCATTAACCCTTAATAGTCCGACACAGCCATGCATTCAAATAATTGATAAAGTTATAGGTCCTTAATCCATTGATCTACAGTGTAATAATAGCCAGATGTCATACTATACCATGGCTGCTGCTGACCAGGGAGAAGAGGATGGAATTTTCACATGGGAAGGGGGAATCCTGCTCCCAGTCTATTAACCATGGTGTTAGGACTCTACTAAGTTTAAAAAGTAGTCAGTCTGACTCAAGAACTTCCAAATGTAAAACTGCCCCTGGCATACACAGTTTCCCCCATGTTCATCTAGGGTAAATTGCAGTCTTCTGAAGTTTTATTTCAATGTGTATCACAGTGCATGCAGTACTGTTTTTTTGTTTGTTTGTTTTAGGTGGCTGAGTGAATGGAAAAAAAGGACTTATTTGGAAGAAAACAGAGCCCAAGAGGAAGAAGAAAGTGGCAGTCAGCAAGGTACTCTGGAAAATACTAGTTTTAACACAATGCAACTAGTTTTAACACAATGCATTAGAGTTTGAATTTTAATATGAGCTAATTAGCATTAGAGTTTGAATTTTAATATGAGCTGTTTTGAGAGCCCAGAGAAGGTTAACCAGTGGGATTTCAGTTTTAGGGTAAGTAAAATATTAAAGGCAATCACATAGATAAAAGTTCCTCTAGATTTACACATTCTGTGTTTTCTGTTCCAGTTTGCAACTGGATAAACATATTTTTATTTAATATCCTAGAATCCTTCGACAGCATGGATTTTAAAGATGACAAATCATACAGTGATGAAGAGACTGAACTATGCAATACCGTGCTGCTAATTGGGCCACCAGGCATTGGAAAGACTGCAGCAGTTTATGCTTGTGCACAAGAGCTTGGCTTCAAGGTTTGGGTTGCGTAGCTACTTGCCTAATTTAATGTCAGCTGGCAAAGTAATGTTGGTATTATGCCTAATCTTTTAACCATATTCCTGCAGATATTTGAAGTTAATGCTTCTTGCCAGCGCAGTGGAAGGCAAATTCTTTCTCAGCTGAAGGAAGCTACTCAGTCTCACCAGGTGGACAAGCAAGGTGTAAACGCCCATAAGCCCTGCTTCTTTAACAGTACTAAATCACCAAGTAAGAAACTTATTCGTTTTATCAGTAGCATAGTGAAGAAAAATAGCTAGAAATAGTTTTCAAAGCCCCAGTTAATAACTAAAGAAGCTATGTGCTATATAATGCCCACCCAGATTTTTACATAGGAAATCTCAATCGTAGCCCCAGAGGGCCATGGTTTGAAAGCACATGAAACAGCAACCCGGCTGAAACTAAACAGTCTGGTCAGTGCTTGGATGGGAGAGTGCCTGAGAAGCCCTGTGCATGCTGCCATGAGTATCATCACGGAAACTTGAGTTATAAACAGGGGTCATTTTGTAGAAAAAGAGGTGCAGGAACTCATTAGCATAACATTTGCATATGTCACACCCCCTGACATCACCAAAAGTGTGTCAGAAGGCAACACCCACTGCTCATGCTCCACTGGACTGTTTTGGATTGCTACCTATGGGGGGGGGGGGATGCGCAGATCTGCCCTAGCAGAGGAGGGAGAGCTTGTACCTGAATAAACCTTGGCCTTAAAGGTGCCACTGGACTGTTTTGGATTTCTAGCTGGGGGGGGACATGCAGATCTGTGCAGGAAAGAAGGAGGGAAGGAGGGAGGGGAAAAGAGAAGGAAAGAAGGAGGAAAAGAAAGAGAAGGAATGAAGGAGGGAAAGAAAGAGGGAGAGAAGGAAAGAAGGAGAGAAAGGGAAAGAAGGAAGGAAAGAAAGAAAGAGAAAGAAAGAAAAGAAGCTTCTTGTTCCTCGTGGCCTGGGGCTGCTAGGAGCAGGGGGTGGGGCTTGTTGCATGTGCCCACCCCCTGGGCTCTTTACTGCCGGAGCTCCGCTCCTGTGCACTCCTGCAGGAAATGACCCCTGGTTATAAATATACAAACAACAGCTGATAGCAATATGATCACATAGACTCTCCCTGGGTTACATTCAACTTTTCATGCACATTCTCCCAAAGAATAATCACACACTGGAAGTTTTAACATGGTCTAGGGACAGGGACATGTTGTTCTCTGGGGCTGCCTCTCCCACATGTACAGCCAGTCCCCAAAAGTAGGTCCACACAGCTGCTATTTGAAGAGCTGAAGGTCATGAAAGTAAGACGAAAGCTTTCTTCTGCCTTGCCACAGCGCTTCAAGCAGGTTGGAACAGTAGTTTCAAGGATAAATTCTTTAGAAATTATGTGAAACATAAAAAGAAAGGTTTTTATCTAGAAAAGAATGATTTAGACAAATTATGGCTTTCTACGAATGATAAATTAATACAAAAATTGTATAAGTTATTCCTGGTAAACTATGAGCTAGATGAAGAGGTAAAAAGTTGTATGATTACATGGATGCAAGACTTTGGTTACATTATTGAAGATTGGTCTAAAATATGGACAGCTGCAAAGCATTTGAGATCTATTTCCTATAAAGAGAATCTATTCAAAATGTTCCACCGTTGGTATTGGTCGCCCGATAAGTTAGCGAAATGGTATCCAAATTTGTCCAAGAACTGTTGGAAGTGTAAAAATAATGTAGGCACCTTCTACCATATGTGGTGGAGGTGCGCTGTGACCCAACGATACTGGCATAAAGTACATAAAATACTGGGCGGTATATTAGAAATAGAAATACCATATGCTCCAGAATTCTTTTTGTTAAATGTGATACCAGAGAAATATACAAAGGAGCAAAAATATGTTTTGGGATATATAATTACAGCAGCACGTATCCTATTTGCCAAGAATTGGAAACAAGGGGGAATACCGTCGAAAAAAGAACTAATTTCTAAAATGCAAGAAATGATTGAAATTGATAAATTCACCACAATATTACAATATAAAGATACAACGATATTCTTTAATAGGTGGGGAACGTTCTATAAATGGTTAAAGAAAAGTTAAAATGTCAAATCCGATGTTGTGAGACTCTGTAAGCTGTTATATCTATAAGTAGAATTTGTATACATGATGAAATGTATTCAATTCAAGAATAAATATGATTTTCAAAAAAAAAAAAAGAAAAAAGAAATTATGTGAAACGGTGTAATGCAAATATATGGGGATAATATGAAAGTTAATGTTTTCTACACTAAAGTACCCTGGGTATTTCAGGAAAATTCCCTCCCAGAAAAGAGTGGTCTCCAAAGAAGCCTCCAGTTTCCCCCAGAAGAGCTGGATTAAAGCAAAGCTTGGCACCCAAAACATTAACAAGCTATTTCAAAATGTCTTCCAAGGAACGAAAAGTACAACAGCAAGAAAACAACAAAGGTAGGCTTGAACATAACATGTATGTGCTTATTTGAAGATGGGGAACAAAATCATAGTGTATACTTGTAAATGTAGAAGGCACAGTGTATGTGGCCAGTCATAAGAAGCAATCATCTATTGCAGTCTTAATTGTTGGGCAGGTGTGTGACTGCTCTTTCCTCTCTTCACCTGTGCTGTTGCTGCTGCCAGTTATCCACTTGCTGTCATGGGGCCATACTATGAAAGCTACATGCACAGTTTTTCCATTCTCCCTTCTAGTTTTAGACCTTCTAGCTCATGTTGGAGAATGAGCATATGTTTATTACAGAGCAGGGATATGAAAGCTGGGTGGCTTTTACTCTCATGTAGCATAATTGAGTGACTAGATCAGGACATGAAAGCCATATCCCCCCCATAAAGGCTGTGCAAAGAGCTCTGTCTCCCTTCTACCCTTCAACCCTGAATAGAGGGACAATGATATTTGTGTGTTCTGCATGAATGACTCTGTTCTGCTGTGAGGATGGGCTTGATCACCTTGAGGAGATTGTTAATCACCACAGGGGACCAGGTAAGTCAGGGAGTAAGAAAATGTACTTAAGGTTAAGCAAACTAATCATATGCTGCCTGGATACTACTTGTAGATCACTGTAAAATCTGAACTACAAGGAATGGAACTACAAAGCACTTCTGGTATATATGTGCCTGTGGTCAGGTATCACAGATGTCTAAATTGATTTTTGAAAGCTTGATACATTTTGTAGTTCACTGCTGGTTTTGACTGGATCTTTATTTTCTGTTTGTACGTGTATGCTCTATCTATGCAGAAAGAAATGAAAGCTTATCTGAAGATAAAGATCAGATTAAATCAATGAAAAGGGGAACTGGAGAAGAGGAATCAAGTAAAAAAAGTGCAACTTCTCTCATCCTCTTTGAAGAGGTATGGAATAATTTCCTGCTCTGCTCTCAAGCAAATGGTTCAATGCTGTTCAGGGAGGCAAGAGTGTGTACAGCTGACCAGCATTGATTGTCTCAAAGAGAAACAAAAGAAAGCACTCCTAATGCATCCTTGTCATACTTTTGCCCATGTGCCCATGTGCTCTGTTGCTATCTTTAAGTACGAAGAACAGATTCAACTTACCTTAAGATTCTCTGGTGACTATTGACACTCCCCTCTCCACTCTGAGAAATAAAGAAATAATGGACCAGAGCCTTATCTAATTGGCTAAGACACATACTTTAAACTCTGTAGAGCAATTGCATGGCTAAAGGTCTTTCATTCTCATAGGTTGATATAATACTAGATGAAGATGTTGGATTTCTAAATGCAATAAAGACATTCATGGCCACTACTAAGAGACCTGTCATTCTTACTACTAATGGTGAGTAATAATAATTTCCAAAAAGTTCTCTCTTGTGAATATTTTAAAATCATATTGAATATATGCTTTGAACATTTTCTTTTGGGGCTTAATTAGGTGAATGGTTGATATTTCAGGAGATGTACGGTGTGACTAGTGTTTCATTACAGGCTCTATTGTAGCTCTTAGAGGTCCTGGACACCATGGAGTACTTCAGACATTCATATCTGTGTTAAGGAATATGGATTTCAAAGTATTATTATTTATAAACAGCCCCTCCTTAACCCATCTTATTCCTATTCCTTCTGCTCTTTTTAAGTTTCTTGTACTACATAATTCTACTAGCTTCTTCATTTTCTGTATGCAGTTTTGGCAAGACAGGACATGTTTTCCCACATCATTTATTTTATTTAACCTTTCTTTCTCCATGACCAGACACAGTCTTGTGTAGAAGGTTCAGAATTCACTTTTCCACTAAAGTTGCCAGACTAAGCTACAGAGGATAATAAAACAGTAAGATATCTACAATTCAGACAAAAATGAAACCTATACACAACAAAACCTAATCAGTCAGCCAAACATATAAACATCAACAGCCTGAACAAAAGGCAAAGTAATACTTTCTTAAAGACTATAAGATCCCACAAAAAAGACAACATTTTCTATAACCTGCAGTCTACAGAACATAGTGTTTGCCTGGAAGTGGCTACCGGCCTGATGTTAAATGGAACCATCAGCAGATTATCCCCTGCAGATCTCAGGAAATGGGTAGGATTGTGTGAGGGAAGCCAATGATATAAAGAGCTCTGAAGTAATCACCAACATCCTGAATTTAGCCTGGAAGCAATTGGAAGCCAATGCATCTTGGGAAACTAGAGTAATATGTTCTCTGCAGCTAACACCAGCAGTTAATCAGGCTGCTGTCTTCCGAACCAACTGTACCTCCCAAATGTCCTTAAGGAAAGCCCCATCTAAAGTTACTGATGTCCAGTTGAGAGATTACTAGAGATTGTATTGCAGAGGTTAAGTTCTGTGCCAGGTCAGGGTAAAGTTGGTCACTGCTGCTACCTTTAAAAGAACACTCCCTGGTGCTGAGCTAGATTTTTTTGAGGAAAATGTAAGATAAGCTTTTCCATCACTGTTCCAGATCTGATTGTCAAGCCAGTCTCTCCAAGTTGTCTTTGAATAGATGTTTAAAAGTGTGTGCGTGTGTGTGTTATATGCCACCAAGTCACTTCTGACATATGGTCTGTATAGAAATATTGGTTCTATATTCACATGCCTTCTCCTGTGGTGTCTTTTGATAACATGCTGTGTCTTGTTTCCTGTTGCAAGCCAATTGGTGAGGCCACATGGCCTCAATAGCCATGCCATAAACCCACATTCTTTCACACTTTCATGCCAAACACCAGACCTCATGGCTACACTTTCTGGCCCACATGCGACCAGTCACGTACACAATGAAGTAGCTGGAGTTTGGGTCACCTGACTGCAGGAGGGGCTCCAAACTTCTAGCCAATCCTATGTTGCAGCTATGACAACCAACAATTGGGCACACCCATGCCCACTCACAATTGGCTGATGGTCACATCTAATTTGTGACTGGAATTGGGGTATAATTGTTTGATCCCTATGAGAGTGAGCTCTCTTGCTTAGCTCCCTTCCTCCTCTTGTCATTGTCTGTTTTATTGTACCTGAAATGCTGCCTCTTGAGAGACAAAGAGTTGCTTTGTGACTTGGAGCACATGGCTGTGCAAAAATGGGATTTCCCTTCAAAATCCCTTGGTACTTGGACTATCTTGGACTGAGGAATACTCCTGACGTGGTAACTATGAATCATTAATGTTTAGTTAAGGCAAACAGCCCTAGCCTTTGTTATTTTTGTAATCTCTGGTAGTCTATGCTAAGCTCTGTACTGAATAAAGATCCTTCTTATTGCTAATTTGTTTCTGATGTTGTAACTGGATTCCAAGTCTAAGCCTCCTCCTGTTTCTATGTGCTCAAGTCTCCATACTTGTCATGGAAACATAACTGTGATAGAGGATCACCATCGTCTTGAGTACTGAGACAAGTCGGATCCTCTGGAGGCAGTGTGCTGCAATGCATGGCCTAATGGAATTGACATCTTTATCATGTATGCATAGTTATTCTGAGAGTCCCACTGCATTCAAAAAGATTTGGCCTTGAAACTACATGAGGCAGTTCTATAGATTCCTCTCCCATCCCTTTAAACCAGAAGCATTTTAGGAGACCACAGTCTTAAAGAGAAGGGGAGGCTGTTTAACCTTCTCCCTCTGGCTATTTTTCTGCTCAGAATCTTGGAGAATAACAGTAAGGAAAGGCTGTAACTTTCATACCTCGCTCATGTACATGCTAGAAATGTCTGACTGCTCTTTTTTGGAAGCAGCATGACTGCTTCTCTTCCTTCTACAGCATAATTAGTTATCCCTTCTCTTTCTCCACTGATCTGCCTGCAACTCATCTCTCATTTTCTACCTCTGTCTTCCTCTATCCCTGTGTTTCAGATGCAATTTCCTTCCCTAAGCAAACTGTTTTGCTAATGCATATATGTGTGTTGCATTTATTTCTGCTACTTGTTCTCTGGAATAATGCTAAAGTCAGGAGTTGTTTGGACTGGGAAGCACTGCAAATTGACTTATCTTTTCCCCTTGTGACCCTGCCTCCTGATTTTCTTTTATTTATTTTTGTAATTTCTTGTAACTTTTATTTATAATATTGATAAGGGCTACATTTATGTTCTAGATATTTTGATTCTCTCTGAGAAGAAAAGTTGTTCTTAAAAGCTGTGACTTTTTCCCTATAGATCCATCATTCAGCTTAATATTTGATGGCTTGTTCGAGGAAATCACCTTCACTGTTCCTTCTTTGGTAAGTCTTTCAGTTTTTGGAATGGAAGATTCCTTTAGTACAACAGAAAACAGTGTATGGATCATTATTGCAACAACAGTTTAATTTGTAGATTGTTAAAAGTTTATATGTAAGTAATTCTGTAATAATTGTACAATTTTTTATTGTACAAAAGCACTTTGTAGTCTATTTTGCTCATATGAATCAATGTTAATGTATTTTAACTTAGGTAAGCTTGATTAATTTCTTTAAATATATGCAAGGCTGTTCAGACACCCTCTGGCCTGGGCTGTTGTGCGTTCATCTCATCATTTCTGTTGTACCAGCAATGATTGATCTTGCTAACTTTGCATAACAATTCCTCAATGACAGCAGAGGTTTTAAAATAATGCAGCATGCATCAAAATTAATTTTTAGTCATTAGAATATTTTCTAGAAATAAAATATTTACTTGCACATTTGGCTAATGTGAATAGTGCTTAAAATATATTCCAGAAATGGACAGTCTTGAGAACACTAGGTGATAGTCACTGTTTGTCCACAGGGGATTAAATCCAGTGTTGATTGACCATTTCTCATTATATATAATTGTGGAGTGGCACTTTGCAGCTCTCCCATTGGCTGTGCAATGTGCTCCCTCAGCCATTGGCCCATCAGCTGCCACTCAAAAGTACTCGCATGCCATTGGCTGGGGGCTGGGTCTGCTTCTCTTCCCTGCCCACTCCCCCTTCAGCCACTGTGCCCTGTCAGAATTACTGGCAAACAGCTTTCTCTCTTGACGAAGACATTTCTCCTGCTTGCCTCCTGTGTGGGACTAACTTTCCCCTCAGTGGCTGTTGTGAGGAACTCATTGGGGC